CAGGTTATTTCATAAGTAGCGATGCATATTTGGCTAAATACACTCTCGCCAATTCAGTCAATACAAAAAGACTATTTTAATGTCTATCGTATTTCGTATTCGTATTTCAGGAGAAGACCTCTCGTTCATCTTTACATGCAAACACTACGTAAAATACCTTCTGGGCCGTGACAGACAGACAGAAATTGAGATAAAACACTAAAAGCTTTTTAATGTATAAACGCAAAAATAACCGAAAATAAATAATTCTGAACAGTGTACAGACAAAACTCTAATTTTATTTGTGATCAACTACCGTACATTAAAGTAAACAAAAATCAGCTGTGTGTGGTTTCTAATGCTATTCTTATGGAGACAATGTTACGTTATATATAATTTTGTGTTGAAATTTGGGGAAATTAACTATTTTTAATTTAATCGAGTCCTTTAATTTGAGCCCTCTCCCGTCCTTCTACGACTTCCCAGTCACCCACAATTTTGAGGTAAAGACCGCGGCTTACGTAATAACGTAATTAATATATAGATATGAGGAGTTTACTTGTATGGTATAATGTACCAATCGTAATAGATGAAATGATTGAATCCATTGCTAAACAGCTGCTTATTTGCTATAGCAGAATTGAAAACAAGCTCATTTTGATAGGTTATCTATACACAAAACCTTATTCGTTTTCTAGTTTAGTTTGTTAATTAATGATGCATATGACGAAAAATATAGTTCACCACACGGGCAATTTTCAACTCTCGCTCATTTACCGACCTCGGCTTTGCCTAGGTCGTAAAACTTGACCTCGGGTCAAAAAGAGTCACTTGAGGTCCTAGTGATTAAATATTCTAATAAGATAATTGTTTTGACGCTAATATGCAGTTTGTAACAACTGTAAAAAATAAAGATGTTTGAGTAGCCGACCCTGTAAGTCAACATAAAGTTTAAATGAGTGTTTTAAAGTTTGTTTGATATTTATGCCAATGTTAGTAATTAACAATGTTTAATATTTAGAAAATCATAAAAAAATCTTACTTTAATAAAAACAATTGTTATTGTAGGCGTACCACTATCACACACTGTACACTACTGCAATGTCTTGTTTGTGTTTTTATGCCATATATTAGGGTCTTTTGTCTTATATATCCTTTTGTGTTCCTTGTTCACTTATAATAAATCAACATTAACAATTCATTATAATTAACAAGGGAAATCTAATTTTTTAACACCTTTTACAACTAAAATTAAGTCTATTTGAATGATTAGCCAGCTGTACACTTTAATAACCCCAGTATTATGTATTCGATATTGTTACTTATGCATTGTAATTACATTTTAACTTTGGTCAATTTTAGGAAAGGGTTTGTCAATCATTAAATTTTAAGTTGTTATTTCATGACAACGTAATACGAAGTTGGCGTACCACTTTAGCATTGCTCTGCATTTTACCCAGAACTGAAAGAGTAATATTTTTTTTTATTACAATTAAATAATATCTCATGAACTGCCATGCTGTAATAGCTAGTTTCCGGCGTAGGGCTATGGGAGTAATAACACCCTGGATGCCCCAAACTCGTGCCGATTATTAAGTATTGTGTGAACCCAAATCAGCTATTATTATTTCTTTTTCTTCGCCTCCATACTAGGTACATGGCTAAAACCTTCTTTTGCCATGGTGTTAGCATCGCAACTACTGAGCCACAACTGAACAGAAAATAATAAATATTCAGGCGTGAATAATATTCTAATTAATAACTATAAACTTTTTAAAACCTCATACCATCAAAAGAGTACTAGTTGGAGCAAGGTAATAAGAAAAAAAACCTATAGTTTACCCAAGAATTGAGAGTTTTAAAGCAGGAAAGAGCTAAAGACCACCTACAGTGACAGTTCCATGTGACGTCAGGCCTCTGCCAGACCATAGGACACTATACATACAACATACAACCATGATATGAGTCATGATGACATACTGTTTTTTTGGTCAGATATTGTAGAGATTTAAATCATATACATTGTATACTTATTCCCATACTGATGGGTTGAGGCGTTCGAAAGTTATGGGACTTTGAAATCTCAAATTTAGACAACTTTCTTCACCCAGAAAATCATATTTTCAGTCTTACAGTATTTTCAATTAAATTCTCAACAGTTGATACAATTTGTCCTCTTGATTTAATGTTTAAAGGTATTTCAAACCTACATCCTTATTCCTTATAAAGTAAAATTCAGAGACATGCCGGGAGACAGCTATAGTGTAAGAGTTCCTTATCTATTATCAGGCTCATGTAACCTATATCCTTGTCCTTCTACTGTCTGTGCTGTAGTTTGACCAAGTTCATACAGCACAGGTCAGTTTCATACAGCACGGACAGGATATAGGAATATTCTCAAGTCATTAAACAAGCCAAGTACAGTTTAAAAAAAAATAAAATCGAAGATGCAGACGGAGACTCCAGAAAATTGCGGCACATCGTAAATAAGGTTGCAGGACGTCCAAGTAGGAAGGAAAAATTCCCAATAGAGGCATTCTGCGCGCACGATGGCACTGCCACCTCTGTCCAGATAATAATTGTATGCAATAATTTAGATTCAATTTAATTATTAATTAAATTAATTTAATTATTAATCATTCCCTAAGACTTTTGAAGCATGGCTTTGCATAATTCCATATTCACTTGACATTTCCCACCCTCCAACTTGCCTCCACTTCCTCTACGTCGTGGACCTGTTTCCATCATTCCCTAAGACTTTTTAAGCATGGCTTTGTATTATTCTATAGTTACTTGACATTTCCCACACTCCAGACCTTTTGCCCTTGCAACTTGCCTCCATTTCCTCTACGTCGCGGACCTGTTTCCATCATTCCCTAAGCCTTTTTAAGCATGGCCTTGTATAATTCCATCGTCACTTGACATGTCCCACACTCCAGACCTTTTGTCCTTGCAACTTCCCTCCACTTCCTCTACGTCGTGGGCCTGTTTCCATCACTCCCTAAGCCTTTTTAAGCATGGTTTTGTATTATTCCATTGTCACTTGATATTTCCCACACTCCAGACCTTTTGCCCTTGCAACTTGCCTCCATTTCCTCTACTTCGCGGACCTGTTTCCATCATTCCCTAAGCCTTTTTAAGCATGGCGTTGTATAATTCCATCGTCACTTGACATGTCCCACACTCCAGACCTTTTGTCCTTGCAACTTCCCTCCACTTCCTCTACGTCGTGGACCTGTTTCCATCATTCCTCAAGCCTTTTTAAGCATGGTGTTGTATATTTCCATAGTCACTTGATATTTCCCACACTCCAGACCTTTTGCCCTTGCAACTTGCCTCCACTTCCTCTACGTCGTGGACCTGTTTCCATCATTCCTCAAGCCTTTTTAAGCATGGTGTTGTATATTTCCATAGTCACTTTATATTCCCCACACTCCAGACCTTTTGCCCTTGCAACTTCCCTCCACTTCCTCTACGTCGTGGGCCTGTTTCCATCACTCCCTAAGCATTTTTAAGCATGGTTTTGTATTATTCTATAGTCGCTTGGCATTTCCCACACTCCAGACCTTTTGCCTTTGCAACTTCCCTCCACTTCCTCTACGTCGTGGACCAGTTTCCACCACTCTGATACGTCTCAGGAAGCAAGTGATACAAAATATGCCACAGAACATGAACAAGACGCAAGTGATACAACTTACTACGAGAGAGCTCAATGACGAAACTGACGAAAAATCCAACGCAAAACCTGGTACATATATATATATATATGTATATACTAGCTGTTGTACCCGTGCTTTGCAACGGGAAGAAGACACAAAATACAAACATTTTGATCTTTACATTTGTTGTATAAAATAGTTACACATATAGGCTACCACTTTTAGAAACAAAATTTGGCTGCACTTTAGTATCTGTCCTACACTCATAACAATGAAAAATATCGATATAGGCTATGGATTATTCTATATATTCATTTAAATTAATAGTACTGTACCCTGTCAGTAAACTTTATAACTTGTTAATGCGAATTTAATATCACAGAACCAACTTGTGTATTTGAAACAGCTGACGAAATTCTTTTATTCGTTTTAAATATTACTCATAAGGTTAACATGGGAAATTCCAGAGCCACTGGGGCGGAGCCCGAACGGACTTTTGAGATAAGAATGCGTCTATATGTTAATCGGGAATGTGAGCTATCATCACACCAAATTTCAGCCCAATCCGGCCAGTATTTTCTGCGTTTACTTGTCACAAACATACATCCATACATCCAAACTTTCTCATTTATAATATTAGTAGGATTAGTAGGATATATATATATATATATACCATAATACCATATAACCACACTACAAACTTAATTCTACAATATACGGTACGTAGTTTTATCCAAACAAACGATCAAAAACCCCGAATGAAATTTTTAATTGACTTAATAGTCAATGCATATAAGCGAGTCTTATCTTTCGATGCAGATTAAATAATACAAAGGCAGAGGAATGCGCGAGACCAAGGACAATGTCACGGCACGGTTGCTATAGAAACGACGCAACGAGAATTGCGCGCCAACGTCAACTCAACGCCAGACTGTGTAAACACGCCGCGTGTGTAGTGTTCGACGGAGCTATAGTACTTTCAGTTGGCAATACTGGCTTCCAGCCTCGAGTGAGGTGGTTCAACCGTGAGAAGCGCCTCAAACTCCTGGGTAATCCCCGGTTAGCTCCTCCCACTCTGCCCCCTATCCCCACCTAAAAGACGAGCAAGTGGTAAGTCGGTCGGGAGGATTGACGACAAGTTGGTTTCTCGAATATAATAATTTAGTTTTACAGGCCGGTCAACTGGACTGACGATGAAATAACTTGTCGACGTACTGGTTTTCAGCATTTATCTATTTAATTAAAAAAGACGGTCTAGTGGCCAGACGACAAAGTATCTTGTCGGTCTACTGGTAGGCTCCCGTTAAACTTGTTACAAAAAGTTCATAATCTTAAAATGATAAAATGAAGAATATGTCTTACCGAAGTTCTCCGCCAGTTCGGGAGGGAAGTTAATGAAGTAATCACTCTCGACAAGACCTCTTCCTTGGCTTACACCCTGTACTTCAACAAGCCCTGTGAGCGGATCCATGAGGGGTTCTTTAAGGTTAACTGTAACCACTTGTTTATCACCCGTCTGAATGTCAAATGATCGGCCATTGGGATTGGTCTGAAAGACATTTTTAGGTTAGTTTACAGCACTGCATATTAAGGAACTAATTATTTTAGGAATACAAATAATTGGAAGCAAGATGTGAAATAAATTTTATTTCACTTTGCGTGTCCCCAGAACAATGTGTCTCAAGGCTGGGCCTATTGGTAAATCCAGCCCTGCTAGTAAAGTAATAAATACAAAGAACAGTTTAGGCTGATGCAAAATGGCTAAAGGTTGGCACATGGTTACGTGCCACAACCTGCTTAGCCAAACACAGCATCCCCATAAATAGCATTAGTGTTTACAGCAATCGCCAAAAAAATGTATCCAAGTCCAAGGACAATTTGTCATTCTGACCGTGATAGTTGAAATCACAATGATACTGGTACAAGTGCATGAACAAGTACTGTTTTTCTAAAAACTTTGACGAGGGTCATTTTACAGTCTAGGGCTTGGAGGTACGAGTGCCGGCCAGGTATCAGTGACCGGTTCCATGGTGCGGCGGTTATGGGGGTGGATCGACCAGGGAGGGGGCAGGATGAGCAAAACTTGTTTGAAGGATGAAATGAAACTATTATAACCTAACCAAACTTGCTGATTATAAAAAAATGAATGAAGGTTTATTAATCAAATCAATAATAATTTTCAATCGATATTAGGGTAGCCCAGTTAAGAAACTGTACCCGGTATCCATTATATCCTGCCCACTACACCCCCTTCCACTAATACCCCTCCCTTGAATCACTCTTACGCTCTGGGGAGTCAAATGGCAGTCGGGCCGTTTTTAATTTAGACTTTTCTCAGGTTCGAATCGGCAACTTTCTGATAAATAGGCGAGCAATATAACCACTCAGCTACGAGCCCTTTTAACAAATTAGAAAGAAAGAAAATATATAACTTACCTTGATAACTGTCCCGAATATACTGACATTCTTGTTCATGAACTTGGGCAGTAGAGATCCATTAACTTTTGTCCTCATTGTCATTGTAGCTGAAACAGACACAAAATAAGATTGCAATACCTAGGATTAAATACACAGGGCCGGACTTAGGACTTCAGAGGCCCCGGGCGAATTTGCCGATGGGGCCCCCAGTATGATTATACGAGAACATATACGGTACACAATGTAACGCATTTACATGCACACTAATTTTAAATAGCTAATTTCAAGGTGAATTAATATGTAAACCTGTTAGAATGCTGTATTTTGCATAAACTAATTGTATGTAATATTTTAAGTCTGAAAATAGCTACAATGTACGGTGTTATTTTATGATTTGTTCTTGTTGTAATTGTATTTATAAAATTTTAATATACCTAGCAGGTACCTTACACATTTTTTGCAATACATTAAAATGTAATATCCTTTGCAACAAATAATGAAAACTATAGATAAAATAAAAATAAAATAACACGTACTTGTAAAAGGTTTAATTTAATTTTTTTACTGTAATACACATTCTATTTGGTGCTTGAATGAAAACTCAAATGAAAAATAACTAACATTAATTAATGGAATAAGTTATATTTAAACACGTGATGTAAGTCAGAGATAATGCATAAACTTTTAAAGCTTTAATATATTTTATAACTTACTATAATTTTACTAACAAACCTTTTACTATACTAAGTTTATAAGATACAAGTCAAAACAATTTTAAAGTTTACTTTTTATAGATTAATCATTATAAAGTTTAGAACATAGTTATTTTCCCTATAAATAAATGTCACTTTCTACTCTGATACGTTGGTCACGTTGGCATGGCAATTAAAACCTCCTGCTTTTCCTACATTTCTTGGCTGCACTAAAACTATAAAATTATAAACTATGACTTATGTTTATTTTCATAGTGGTTTTGGCATGGAATTCTCGTTTGTATAATATGTTAAAAGTCCTAGCATGAAAAGTACCATTAAGAACTTTAACGAGTTTGAGTTTTTTCTTGACGAGTAAAATGTTACAATACAAGTCTAATAACCAAACACAAGCTAACCATTTATATGAGTAAACAGAAAGATGTTTAAATGAATTCAATATAAATTAATACAACACAAACATAACATTCAATACAACATTAATTTGTTCTTTGTAGTGTTTGCAGAATTAATAATAAAATACAACACAAAAGTACGATAATGTCAACCAAAAACACACTGGGAGTAAAGTGATTTAAATTGTTTTGGATTGGCGATAAGGCATTGTATGTATGTGTATGCGCGTGCGTGAGACAGTCAAGACTAGACAGGATCCCTTATCAGCTCATTATCATTTATTGTTGCAGCTGCTTGTTGAGCGCTTTTTTACGATTTCAGTCGACAACGCTCGCCCGCTCCCAAATAATGTAATTTTTGTTAACATCAGACGACCCTAGTTGTAAAAAAATAAAAACATAAAAAACAAAAACACAAAAAACAAAACATGTAAAACATAAAAAATAAATTTAAAATTTAAAATAAAATAAATTACTATTTTATAAAACCTTTTAATTGAATGGGTAATATAATACTTCTGCCCCTTAAAATCGTGAATGGCATATACTTAGAGGTAAAAGAATAACATATAATAAAACATATTTTTCAAACCATGTTTTTATTTTTCAAAAGTATTAGATCTCAATTGAATCTCCATTTAACCCCAACACAATTGTACAAGTTACGTTCTACGTTAGGACAAGAGTTTTCATATTATTTATTGTATTTTTTGCCCCAAGCGAAGGGGCCCCCTTCAACTTGATCACCGCGGCCGTAGGTTTGTGTGAACGGCTTCATTGAAACTCAAACTGGTCCGTCACAGCCTAGCAGCTATGCTCGTGTCAACTAGGTCTAAGCGCGGGGCCCAGTGCAACCCTGAAGAAAAGTCCCTTAGAGTCAAGAATTTTGGTCCTAGTAATACCATAAAGTTCATCTAACAATAACCTTTAAATATAGGATAACGACAATAAAGCTGTTAAAAAAGAAGATCATTCGGTAAGTGTCTGATTAATTTTCGAAGATATTAATAAAAACTACTGTGCAAGGGGCCCCTTCGGGGCGCTCGCCCCGTCCGCCCCTAGGTAAGTTCGGCCCTGTAAATACACTGGATATCATAGGGTCTAAAAATTAAATTACATTCTGTTTGTGTTGCTTTAAATGTAGGTACAGTAGTAAAAATTAGAAGAAGTGTGAGGTACCAAATTTTAAGTGGGGTAAAAAAAACGTATTGATAGTCAACAAACACCATAACTTACCCGATTTTTATCCACAACATCCTGCTCCTAGGCCTATGTGTTGGCCATAGCTTGGGCTATGGGCCAAAGAACGTAGGCCTACTTTTAATACCAGTGAAGTACACAAACACACCCACAACTACATATTTATTCATAATAGCACTTCTTTTCACCAAACAAAGTTAAACCGACCGATTTTACAAGTATTTATCACCGACAACGACGACATAACCTCAAGCTGGTCTTTGTTGATTGACGATGACAGACGATAACTAGACGTGGAATCCCCGATCAGCTGTTGGCTAGTTTCCAAAATCGCCACCGCAGCGCTTGAGCCGCGGCCGAGGAAATCGGGATTTGGGGCCGGACAAGTTTATTCGCTGTTCGACCGTCGACTCGTTCATGAGAAGCCTCTCGCACACGATCACGACATACTGTACCACTGCATTATCCCTTCAGGTTAGCTAAGTTCGTTGTTAGACTTTCTAACGTTCCTTTTATTTTTGTTTTAACATACGTATACTCGTCTTCCACTTATTTTTTACCTGTTTAGGTTCGATTTAATTTTCTAAATCTCAATAACTTAGTTTTCGCCGACTTGTACAAAACCCGCCAGTTCCTGCCTGCCAGTGACTAGCGGTGGATATTTTTTCGGCTCTTTTAAATCAATTGGCTATTAAATTACATTAATTCCGTTCGTTTCACGATTAACTATTACTTAAGTTACTCCAGTTAATTCGACGTTTTAATACCCCGAGACTTGTCGTCTAAGTTCCAAACCCCGTCTGTGGCGGGTGAAAGAATCAAGTCTGGGAGTAGGCTGAGTTGAATAATCAGCTACGAAAATTAATACTAAATTTATTTTAAATCATATCACGTTAAATTATCCGTCCAGTTATATTAATTAGGTCCCGACGACTCTGTAGGGATTGGGTTAACGTCATATTATATTCTATATTATTTACCTAGGCCTTTAATTAATTATTTTAAAGTTCATTACAAGTAATTGAATCACATAGGCTTAAGATTGAATACTCGTCGGCCCTACAGAGTCATTCCAAAAGTTAGGCAAAATTCTCCAGAACACTTTTACGAAGTCTGGGATGATATAGCTCCAACTGGGCGTCTGCAGGATTTCCTGAGCGCTTCTAGAGCTCTGAGCCTTCGATTAAATTTTAATAAATTGATCAGTCAAAGCCATGACAACTTCGTATCGACCCCTGGATTTTTCCCGGCTCCTTCTGAGCACTCCGGGGAAGAAATTTGAGTGTGGCCGGTTCTAGGGGTAGGCCTAGCCTTACTTAGGTGAATACTAAAGTTTATTCCCCACCCTAGAATTTTGCGTCACAGAATAGTAAGAGAGCCTAGCCTGCATTGCAGATGGTTGCTCTTTCTCTCAAGTTTTAGATGTTCAACTTTGTTTACGTTAAGTGGGTGTTTGATTCGGACCCCCACTTCACCTGAAATGTTCTAACTTAAAAAGCACTTTTCCTATATAAACAACAATACGGTAGTAGGCCTACTCACAAAATCAATGCTGAGGAGGATACAGTTGCCTAGCAGCTTTAAAGATGTGATGCAACCACTCCATCCAGGGGTGAATTCCATTAACTTAAGCTTTAACTGGTGTTCTGTCAAGATACTCGAAGAAATCTTTCTTCTGAATAGCCTACGATCTGAATACGGGAGGGATGTTGGGCCAAGCCTTCGGTTCCAAATAGGCCTATTCGTATGAGCTCCATCTCCAGATCCTTGAAGTTCAGCGAGTGGTTCACTTACTGCCCAAACTCTCCTGAGATAAACAATCGTAGGCTTTTCAGTAGTCACTGACGATGGTAGTGCCTTAGTATCAGGAAGGATCCATTCTCGGATCGAAACCAGCAATATGGTCATTTCCTTGATGCCACAGAAACAAGGAAGGCTTCTTAGGTCACTTTGATGCCACTAAACACACACTGTCCCTCGATAACTCGCCCAAAATTATACTTCCATTTGCCAAACTTGCCTCATTAATCTGAACTATGGCCAGCGGTCCTCTAATCGTTTCATATTGGTCCTCCAATCCTTTCAGATTGGTCCTCCAACCCTCTCAGATTGGTCCTACAATCCTTTCAGATTTGGTCCTCCAATCCTTTCAGATTGGTCCTACCATTTTCTCAGTTTTGTCCTCAAATCCTTTCAGATTGATTCAACAATCATCTCAGATTGGTCCTACCATTTTCTCAGTTTTGTCCTCAAATCCTTTCAGATTGATTCAACAATCATCTCAGATTGGTCCTACCATTTTCTCAGTTTTGTCCTCAAATCCTTTCAGATTGGTTCAACAATCATCTTAGACTGGTTAATTTAAACACCTCGCAGGCAAATGATAATGAATTATACAGATGATGAAGTCTTGAGAAGGCGGTCTCAGGTCAAGTGGAACTTCGCTCAAAGCAAAAATAGGCCTACTGTTTAAACAGATAATTTACTGTTCTCCAAAAACAATCCAGCCCGCACAGAGACATTAAAGGGTTAAAGGTGCACTGCATCTTCTGCTTCATGCCCGGCGCAGACAACGAAACGTGATTTTCTCTTCGTCCAGCAAACACATAGGCCTATTACCACAACAAGTGCACTCACTTTCACTATGAATCAGCCCGTGTCCAACAAGGGGTGAAACAATGACCAAAAGTGGCTTGCGCTCACAATCGGTGAAACAATGACCAAAAGTGGCTCACGCTCACAATCGGTGAAACAATGGCCAAAAGTGGCTTACGCTCACAATCGGTGAAACAATGACCAAAAGTGGCTTGCGCTCACAATCGGTGAAACAATGACCAAAAGTGGCTCACGCTCACAATCGGTGAAACAATGACCAAAGGTGGCTTGCGCTCACAATCGGTGAAACATACCTGAAAAATCGCGCACTCAACTTGCACAACTTCACCATTTTAGCACTACCTAGCCTAACTCAACTCCACGGTGAAACTTTTAGGTAGGGCAACCATGAACATATTTTCTTCAACAATGACCCTGCCTTTGAAGGGGTTCATAAATATAATTATAATATAGATAATTTGATCTATGATCTATCTTTGACTATAATAGAGGTGTAGTCCTCTAGACAACTTTTACTAAACTGTGTTCGAAAGTAAGTTGAATCCAAAATTAATTGTGTAGGGGTTAAAGTAGGTCTAACTCGAACCATCCATTAATTATTAAAATAATAATAACTTACATTGCTTATCAAAAATAATGACGATAGAAGACAATTTAAACGAAATTGGCCTAAATAAGCATGAGGAGCAAACAAAGCAGAAGCACTAAGCAGACGGCAACTGGAGAGCTACAAACTGACAAAGGTTGGCGGGAAGCCGGGAAGTCAGGAAACTACGGAGACGGACTGGACTGAAACACCACCAAAAGGCATGGTGGAAGGGAGGAAAATTTTCCTTCCACCATGACCAAAAGGAGATAAATCTGTACTAAAAAATCTGTGTAAAACATTGATTAAAATATAATCCCTTAAACATTTACGAACGGGACCATTGGTGGTAACTGATAAAAAAGTCTCAACTATGTTCCAAAGTCAATAAAATGGTTATTAAGATTAATCTATGACTATAACTGGTATCTTTTTAAGTTCCACCCTCATATCAATCAATTATCAATCATTGAGATGGGGACGCCACCTATGTGCGTATTTTAACTTAGCCCAAATATGAGTGAAGGATGAGTGTAGAATGGTGTGTATGATGACCTCAAAGACGATAGGCTCAAGCATTGTGTAAAACGGCCTGTTTTACACAATGCTTTATTAAAATTTAAATACTTGCAAGACTATGGTTTTTGAACATTAATAAAGGCCAGGCGCACACAGGTGATTTTGAGTCTAGCAACAGTTACCCAATAAATAGGGGGACTGTTGCGCAACTCACTCAGAGACTGAAGTCAGTAACAGTTGCGCAGGAGTGCGCACACAGGCGACTGTTCAAAACGCAAATTAGACATTACCGTACCGTATTATTTAAATGTTACAACAATACTATGTAGGCCTACTCTGTTATTGAAGTTTCGCGCGTGAAAGAAGAAGAGGATTAGAGGGTTCAAATCTTTCGTAACTGATGCCCCCTCCCACTCTTCAAATTTATATCAGAATAGTCTTTGAATTACTTTAAATAGGGCGGCCTCTTTTCAACTTAAATAATTAATTGTTTAATGTCCTCAATACGCAAACTCATACTTAAAAATTAACTTTTCCCAAACGTTTACACTTTATAAAAAAAGTCACTTTGTAAACTGAGACTTTATAAACGCTGGATTATTGAGCTAGATTTGTGTTACTGTATATTAATGTCTCAAAATGACGTAAAACGCTAATTTCAGCATAAAAATGGATTTTAAAACACCCCCTCCTCCAGGCTGGGGGTATTCCATACCTCCTAGGCCCATCGGTGGGCCACCCACAGCGATCCCTGTTTCAAGTACGCTCTTGCCCCCCCCTAGTTTTGATCCTGGGCACGCACTCGATGTGTGCGCATCTAGACTTGTTTGAATGAATACCAAGCCTGGAGCGACAATTTAGTCACAGAGCTGTCTCTGGCATATTGGGTACGGGAACAATGGTTGCAACAGTTGCGCGACCATCCCTCAACTGTTTCCTTGGTGTGCGCTCTCCAACTTAAAACAATGATACACATTTGGTCGGGTAACTGTTGCTAGACTCAAAATCGCCTGTGTGCCCCTGACCTAATAGCACGTTTAAAAATCCGACTGGGATAACAGAATGACGTTTTTGTTGTCAACTGTATAAAGCTCACAGCAAAGCACTAACATATGGTCAAAGTCTAACCACCAAGTGGATATTTTAAATCTATGATATGGCTTACCCTCAACACAGCCAATCTGCAGACTAAGCGAATTTACATTTACCTGGCTGGAATTACCGTTGAAAATTTAAATACGTACATTTTCAAAAAAAGCACTTTATAATGTTTTTCGAAATGTATTTTATTTATTTTATTGACATTTGAAGTTTCATAAAATGTCCATGGTAACGCATAACCGTTGGTGGTATTTAGCGAATTTCCCATATAGGGAATAAGCTATTACCGTAGGTCTCATGGTAAGACCTAGACCCGGGACCGATTTGCTTTTTCGTTTTGAGGTCCCCAGAGGCCAAAAACACCATCCGTTCAAAATTCATATATATATGCGAGGGTGTGTCCGTGTTAGCGCGATAACTCGAGCAAAAATGGTCCTATTTTGCTCTACGTTTATTCTTACGAGTTCGCGAACCAACATTATTGGACGATGGTAACAGGGGTTTACGGGGGGTTTTATGTGGTAAAAATGGGGTTTTCTCATTTTTACACTAAAAACAAAAAATTTTGCAATTTCTTTCTTCACCATTTTGTAGAGCTTAAACAAAGAAATAATTTATTATATTGAAACGCTGTTGTATGCCTAACGGTCACGGAGAAAATAAAAAAAGTGTAATATAAAAAATTAACATTACTACTCTATATCTGTGCATTTTAAGCGGAGTCAATATTGTCATAGTCCAGTAACCAATCTTTCGTAAATACACAAATACCATTAGCTGCTTCCAAACAAAACAGCTGTTACAACACCACTTGCGACGTTGCGACTTCGGAGGCCGCGGCCTGGAGTTAAAGACGGCCGTGGCTAATGCTTACCAATGCTAGAGGAGGTCACTATCTAAGGCCGGGGCCACACTCATCTTATCTCGCTGATTTTTTTACACGGGCGTTACCCGTGGGTTTGAGAGATACATTACGGTATATGGGACAGGCCACACTAGAGTAAAAACGTCCGTGAACGAACCAGCGAGACTGACAAACGGAATTGCACGTGTATTCTCTACTAACGTTCCACGGGCGTTGCACGTAAAACTAGTCGCGAGGCATTGCGGCTTATGGGAGTGAACACACTCATCTTATCTCGCTGAATTTTTTCCACGGACGTTTCTAGTTTTAACCTGAATGTTATGTGCATTGAGCGTGCGGGGGGTGCGGATCACGGACAGGTACGATTTGGTACAACAGGTACGACAGGTACATTATGAAAGTAAACTCATACATAGGTTTACACATTCATACCGAATTTCGTCGAAATCGGATCATCTTTGCTGGAGTTAACATGCTAATGGACACATTATTTATAAATATACTGCATACATGAATTTGGATGGTGTTTTTGGCCTCTGTGGATCTCAAAACGAAAAATTTAATAGGTCCCGGGTCCAGGTCTTACCATGAGACCTACGGTAATAGCTTATTCCATATTTTGGAAATTCAATAAAAATAAAAATGAATAACTAATTATATCTATTACAAATATATTTCTAACACGCTCTTTTGGGAGTTGGCAACATTTCTTCTTTCCCGCCAAAGTGACCAATCCTTCTTTTTTTTAATCCATTATCCTTCTGCTGGCTGCTGGGACTGTCGCCTCGCCTGCTTTCTTTATTTATTGTGCTTGTACGTACATCTTTACGTTTTGTGCGGTTGTTTGCTAACTTTAACAAGTTTTACAGTTTTGTTACACAATGTAAGTAAGTTATTGTTTCTTGATGACAATCAAACATATCACTGTTCACTTACATTTTCATTTTTTAGGCTTTCAGGTTAAGTTTGTTATGATCCTTTGTCAATTATCATCATGTTAACTGATTGATGTAGGCCTATTGTAACATGGTCTATGTTTCTGCAACGTTAACTAACATTGAAATTGAAAGACAATATTATAATGAAGTAAGTAATTAAGGAAAAGGCAAAGTTCCAACTGATATCCATGCTGATATCCGTAACTTAGGTGAAACTGCCCTGTGTCCAGACCTAGTATGGAGGAACTGGAGGCTGCACTTAAGTATCTCTCCTAGGCTCATTAGAATAAAAAATATCGATCATTAGATTATTCGATAGGGATCGATTATTTCATTCAGGTGGTTAGGTCAGGTTTAACTAATCCAACTTGATATATCGAATGACATAGGCTAATCGATATATCGACCGATTAAGTGCAGCCGAACTGGAGTTTTCTCCTTTCCTTTGTTGTACCGTATCAAACTCTTCTTCAGTGGTTTAATGAAAATTACATCTTGAACATGCTTCTCAAAGATTAAAGATACCACCATCTCTTCTTCTGAAGAAGTAAAATTCCTTGGTGTAAGAGCTTTAGACCTTGATGAAATCCTCATATTCTGCAGCCACATACAGCATGTCATTAAGAAAGTATTTGTGGTTTATTTTTATGCTCAGAGTCCTTGGTCAATCAGTTACCAGTGATGTCCCATCATCACTAGGCATAGGCCTACTATGGACCTTTTAGAAAGGTTTGAAAAAACTGGACCCAGATTTTCCTGATCATTGAATAATTCATTTTGGGTTGAATAAATGATCCTGGCTAGTGAAAAAGTTGATCTTAGTCTGGTAACAAAGCTACACAGTTCAACGAAGGCTCCACCAGAAAAATAGTCCATGCTGCAGGATCCATGACATCACACTTGTGGATAGATTCACTGCCATATCCCATATGTTTTAGGTAAATAAGCTGGCCGTTTACGTCTGGCAACTTTTAGTTGTACCATTAGTGGTATAACTAGGCCCATCCACCACTGTGACGTAGGTAGTGTTGCACTGCAGCATGGCGTGTTCTCTAGTGGGGCCTTGGTTTAATCACAGTTCATTCTACACTCATATTTGGGTTAAAATACGTACCTAGGTAGCATCTCCATTTCAGTTGGTATTGATAATAATAATAATGGTAACCTAAACATTGAATACAGTAATTGTAGGCGAGCTAACTGAATTAGTTCGTCCCTCTCTGATAGGAGAACCCCAACCATTCCTTATTAGGCTATATTATTCAAGTTAGGCTGCATGTACTTGAATTCTTCAAGTGTCTGTATAGCCAAACCTTAGTTTTTCCAAACATAAGGCGGCTGATATGAATATCAGAACATTCCTTGGTTTATGTATTAGCCTTATAAAGATGCTTGTGAAGAAATAGAAAATCATTCCACTTGCTTTAGTTAAGTGATACCTAGTTAATCTTATTCCTGGTACCGTAATTAATAGCTAATAAAAACAAAAAATGTTAAAAATAACTATTTTTCAGAGGCAGTAAAAAAGGACAAAAAGAAGAATGGAGTCTTGGACAGCAGACTTCTTTGAAGAAAACTCAACTAATTGCATAGAGGAGTTAAAAGATGACTCTAAGTGGTCAAAGGTAGGCTCTCACTCAAGTGTTTTTTACTAGCCTACCTCGTAATGGAACAGATTAACTCTGGTCATGCTAACTAACACAGACCTTTTATTAGATAGCATCATTAATATTTAGCCAAGTGACCGATCATTGCATCAGGGCGCAGAATCGATCATACACAGAGTCAAACCAGCAACTTTTTGAATTGTTGGTATATTTTTTCCATAAATTAATACTGTAATTCTGAAAATATTGGCTCTTATACAGCCCAACTTTAAAAATTGATGGCGAATATCTTTTTTCAGATTCCAATGCTGAAGAAATCCCAGAGTCACTTGTTAAAAGAGGGACAATTTGTCAGATTTAAAGGTATGATCCAGGACATGTTGAATCCGGTTTACTTCTTGGCCAAATACGAAGTTCACAATACTGTCACCAATGAGAAGAGTTTTAAATGTGGAAAATACAAGGATACACTTCAGTGTGCGGTAAGTAACGATAGTCATCAATTAAATTGTTCAAAAATGTACTTTAGATAAACACCTATTAGACTAGGATAATTCATGACTGTAACACTTTTTTTTATTAGTTTAGTGATTTTTATAAAATGTATTCTTTTTAGATCTGTCATCCTTAGGGTTCGGCTAAAGACAATTTCAGGGTAGGCTATGCTATATGAATAGGGAGAGAGATTTTATATTGGAGCCTGTTTACCCCAACAATGTGTTTCATCAGCAACTTTGAGTGAAAATAATTATATTGATTCTAAGATAACATTTAGTTTTCGTGCAACATATGCACTAATATGGGCACCTTTCAATTATCTTTACCCCTCCTAAAGTTTAATTGAACTGGCAATATAGTGTATTAATCCACAAGGCCGGACGTAAGTGTTTACAGTACAAGCATAATAGCTTCCGTGTTAGGCTTGCATGCGAGTACCGTTAACACCTCCCCAAGTGGGTTGCGTACCTATTATATACTTTTTGCCACATTAACGGCAATAATGAGTTTGTACTGTTTTCTCTTTGAATTTACTTCAATATAAAACTTCACTCGTGTAGACAAGAAAAAAAAATACACAGGACACAGGGTAAAAACACACTGTTTAAGGGGGTTCCCTACCTCGGACTGTTTTCAATTTTCTGTGACCCTGGTGAGTTTAGTTGGAACTACAAGACGACAAAATATTCCCTAGGATTGCTGTCTGCTGGTCGTGTCACCGCCAGGACGCCTCCGCAGTGGAAGTAGGCCCATCCTAGTAAACCCGCCCCAGCAGTGCACTCACTTTCACTTTCTCCCCTAGTTCCCTCTCTCTGATTTACAATCCTCGGCGACTGGTGACAACGGGCTTACCTCCCTGAACCTATTCACGCCGTTCATACAGACTCAAGACCGTTGCGCGCCTCTTCCAGTCAGTTGACACCGCTGTAAAACAACTATGGGATTATAGCCCAAGTTATAATTTTTGGAATTCATATGCTTACTTATATATTTCGCTTATAAATAAGAGGTATTGAATACAATTGATTCGATGAAATTCTTAATGAAATTATTTATTTCATAATAAAAAATACTCAGTGGATATCTCTAGAATAATTAAAAGAATTTTACATTATAGTTAACAAATTGAAACAAAAACTAATATGCACGTGCTATCTAACACACTCTAAATAACACAACAAATAGAAAACTGAACATCATAGGCCTATACATATTGCTTAAAAATACTAATGTTTTATAAATGTTTATTTCACCAAAAATAAACCCTATATCGACTATACGTCGCCCTAGAAGCTGAGTACCGCCTTTATTTTCATCGGTTGTTTGCTCCAGCATCAGATCGCTCAGCAACAAATTACTAGTATTAGACATAAACGAATTATTAGATTGTTCCTCGTCACAAATCATATCGTCATTCCTGGTTGCTGTCCCCGTTTCTTCGACTGGTTCTACCGACATAGGTTCTGACACAACACTAGCTGTCACTCTCCGTTTTTCGCGCATCTCTTCATATTCGCAAGTACGACGTAATAGTCTCCACTCGGCCAAACGTTCTCCGCCACGATTTTTCTTATGGCGGTGTTGCCGCTGGGAATGGATCTTTACTGGACCACCCATGATTAATAAACTGGATATTTACAATTGTACTAATTGCAAATCAAATACACTAATAGACACAACACACACACGACACGAGTTCACTAAAACGACCACTCTGGATGTCTTCGTCCAAACAACTAATGCCGAAATATCTATCTAGGCGGAAAAGAGAAACCGATTGCAAACAACCAATAAAAGAGCCCAAAGTTTTACAACCCTTCACTCCATTTCTAGGGAATTCCTCTGCCGCGCCGCGCCTGCCGCCCTAGGATCACACCACAGCGCGTCGTCGCACAGGTTTTGCATTTGGCAAGGTTGAAAAACGCTACAGCTTGGAACTTATTTGCTCCAGTTCTAAGATTAATTTATTCAAATGAAATATTAATTTGAAACGTTTTTGTTTCACAAGTATGCTACAACCTATATGACTGAACGTTTTTATATTATCAACAGGTTCTTGGCTGTATTTATTTATACTGCTTAACTGGTTTATAATAATTAATATAATGTTATTATGTGTCATGGATAAATCTTGGGGGAAATATTATGAATGATGAAGAATGTGTAAAATTTGTATCCCTCCGCGAGACAGTAGTTTCGATAAAGGCCGCTAGAGTCCGTCAGAATCATAGCACTTTTCGCCGTGCAAGGTTTTACGCGGTTTCATTTTGCACATACAAAAAATAATCTTTTCTTGAAACTAAAAGTGACTTGATATTTTTAGTTTAATTTCGCACTAATATTGCTTTATTAAAAATCGATAATTTCATAAAAAGATATTATTATTTAACTGTAAAGTTCACCAACTTTGACAAGTCGTTGCCCTTGATTGCGTAAGCATAGACATTTTTTAAAAAGCAAACTTAGTAGAACCACTCTTTATATACAAAATGGTGTTTGGTTCACAATTTAAATGTTAAAACTAGAATTGCTATATGATACCGCGCGAAGCGGTTTTCTGACGTTTTTCGGCGGGGGTAGGGAACCCTCTTAAATTTAAAATATCATTAGCCTATTTGAAGACATGTTGACCAAATTTTCAACTTTTCCAAAAGGTGTCATTTAAAACTTTTCTAATATTTATTGTGAAAGAAAATACAATTCTATTCCTGTACAAACCTGTCTATTATTAATTGTGTAGCTTTGTTGGTAGACTTAACAAAGAAATTTATGCCTTTTTGAAAAAGTGCCTTGAAAGAGAGCTCGGTACATTTCCATAGATACTCCAGCTGACTTGACTAAACTCTTGCTGACTTTACCAAACCCTAGAATTCAGCTGCTTAAGCCTACTGTGTAGTGTGGAAAAAAATGAAAACCAAACAATTTGAGTTGTAATAAATACAGAAACTTAATCCACTATTATTAACGTAGTTGAACTGGTATATAAATGACGCCAAAACCGGAAGTGTCTACTCAACTTTGGCCTTGTTATTGCATGTTGTTGTTGTTGTTGGCATTGTTGTTTACCAGCAGTATTATTGTTTCTCGATGAATCATACTAAAAATACTAATAAATGGACACTATTAAAATTGGTGATAGTGTAAACATTTTTTTTTTTGTAGGCCCACCTCAAAATACCTTACAATCTGTCAAGTCACCAACAAGTTCACTATTTATGTATTTTTTTGTATGTTTCTTTTATTAATAAATATACTAATGAAGATTGTTTTGTTTAGGACCATGAAAAAGTGCTGTTTGATTCAGAAGCATGTGAACACCAAGAAAGAAGGCCGATGTACTGCATATCCGTGCCAGCAGTCAATGACTGGGCCAAAGTATCCTTTTTTCCAACAATACCATCAGAAAAAATGTTGAAATTAAAAAAAAAGTTACAAACATTGAATATTTTTCACTCAAATAAAAAAGTACCTAATTCGATATCAGCTAGGCTACTAAAATTTATGATCCAGAAATACGTATCCATGAGGAGAGGAAACCTTTTTTCTACCAAATATGCTTTGATTTTACTCATAAATTTGATTTGAGCCTTTTTAAATATACATAGTAAGTAACAGGAAACTCAAAGACAATGGATTCTAAGGACAATAATAGGTTTTTTACATACCTCCGTCAAATATTCCAACGATTAATATTGCTCATCAGCTTACATGTTTTGTTGCAAAGACAACATTTTCAAAGCTTGCAACTCGTCAAAAACACACGGACGACACAAACACAAAAAACATTAAAATGTTACAAATACACAATAAACATTTAGATAGCGCTATCATGATACTGATTTCGTCCGGCGCGGCGCGGGGTTGGTAGCAGACTGGAGGTTTACGTCTATTGTGTATTCCATTTTAATATTTTTTGTGTTCGTGTCGTCCATGTTTTAAATGTTTTTGACGAGTTGCAAGCTTTGAACATGTTGTCTTAGCAACAAAACATGTAAGCTGATGAGCAATATGAATCATTAGACTATTTTGACGGAGGTATGTAAAAAACCTATTATTGTCGTAACAATATAGACCAGAGGCAAGAAACGATTCTAAAGAGTCACGTAAAGGAAATTTAAGCATAATGAAATCAGTAAGTAAGCCATTGAGTTTGAACTGAAGGCAATTCATTTACTCAACACATTTAGGCCAAAGTCTATACACCGTAGGGTTAAAATGTGTATACACCGTTTTGACTCTAATAGTGCCACCAACCTTTTTAAAAAAAAATTCTGTTATTAAAACTTCTTAACATTTCATCAGGACAAACATCTAGAACCAGTATCAATACAGCAAAGCAATAAAGAGCAGCTTACAGTAAGTGCTGGTGTCAAAAGAAGTGCAGATTCAGAAGAAAGCATGGAAGTTGACAATACTAGGTACCTAACTTCTAATTTGAATTAATCCAAAGAAATGTTTACCAACTACCTATCAAGTTGTAAATCTCGATTGGTATTAATGGTACTACGTACATTATTTTAAACCGTTTTTGGACTTTTAAGCTGATATGATATAGTTTATTTAGCAATCTTTTATTTTCTCTCTTCCGTTTGTTATGTGCCTCCTAAAATATAGGCTCTCTTAAAATGAAAGCCTGACCAGTTTTAATTTGGGTTTTCTCAACGATATTTTGAATTATTTTCATACTATTCTTGCTATAAGAATGTTTTTAGTACTTAAACTTTGTCTATAAACATTTTGCATTTGTTCATTTATTTTTATTTTTGAGTTTTTGCAAGGAAACTAGGTAATTAAAAAAAAATAGTCACCTACTTAAAGTGGATGGAATAAAAGACTTCTCTTAAAAATGTTCAATATACTGACAGATCATATAATACATAGTGTTCTGTAAGAAATTCTTAAGTTAGCCGCCATATTTTAAAATGGCAGCCATGTTTGAAAAAGTAGAATTTATATTCTCTAATGTCATAAAAAATAGGTGAAAATCTCCATGTTTTCTCAAAATACTACAATAGTTTCTGACATACCAATGGTAGCACAGTTCAATGTTCACCCGGTATATTTACCCCATACAGCATTAGGGAAAAATCTACTAAATCAAAATAGTTTAACCAATCAAATCAAAACAAAGTTTATTTCATGCAAAAAAGTAATACAATAAAAATCATGAACATCCACTTCCAGTGAACAAAAATACAAAGAAACTTAGTCTAAGCCTGGTAAACTGCAATGTTTTATAAGATGAAGATGGTAAATAGGCCTATATAGCTTAATGTATAAAAATATTATTAGCTATTAATTTTTACCAGACGTCAGCAAAATCCCAGACTCAAATCAGAGCGCAGGGTGTCTAGTAGTCGGGAAAATCGGGAAAGTCGGGAATTAGTCTTGAATTTCAAAATGGTCTTGAAAGTCGGGATTTAGTCTTAAATTTGATTTCAAAGTCGGGAATTTTCGTGATTTTGCCGCGATCGTCGTCTTGCGTTTACGTGACTGCAAAAGCCAATGATGATGTCTACACGGCCTCGGGAAATTTTCACGATTTTGCCGCAATAGTTGACGACGACGATGACGTTTCCGTGACCGCGGGAGATGACGATGACGTTTCCGTGACCGCGGGAGATGACGATGACGTTTCCGTGACCGCGGGAGACGACGATGACGTTTCCGTGACCGCTGGAGACGACGATGACGTTTCCGTGACCGCTGGAGACGACGATGATTTCTGCTCGGCCGCGGGAAATGTTCATGATTTTGTCACGATCGCGGACGACGACGATGACGTTTCCGTGACCGCGGGAGACGACGATAATGTCTACACGGCCTCGGGAAATGTTCATGATTTTGCCGCGATCGCGGACGACAACGATGACGTTTCCGTGACTGCGGGAGACGACGATGACGTTTCCGTGACCGCTGGAGACAACGATGATTTCTGCTCGGCCGCGGGAAATGTTCATGATTTTGTCACGATCGCGGACGACGACGATGACGTTTCCGTGACCGCGGGAGACGACGATAATGTCTACACGGCCTCGGGAAATGTTCATGATTTTGCCGCGATCGCGGACGACAACGATGACGTTTCCGTGACCGCGGGAGACGACAATGATATCTGCTCGGCCGCGGGAAATGTTCATGATTTTGCCGTGATCGCGGACGATGACGATAACATTTCCGTGACCGCTGGAGATGACGGTGATGTCTAAACAGCCGCGGGAAATGTTTATGATTTTGTCACGATCGCGGACGACGACGATGACGTTTCCGTGACCGCGGGAGATAACGATGACGTTTCCGTGACCGCGGGAGACGACGATGATGTCTACACGGCCGCGAGAAATGTTCATGATTTTGCCGCGATCGTGGACGACGACGATGACGTTTCCGTGACCGCGGGAGATGACGATGATGTTTCCGTGACCGCGGGAGATAACGATGACGTTTCTGTGACCGCGGGAGACGACGATGACGTTTCCGTGACCGCTGGAGACGACGATGATATCTGCTCGGCCGCGGGAAATGTTCATGAGTTTGTCGCGATCGCGGACGACGACGATGATGTTTCCGTGACCGCGGGAGACGACGATGATATCTGCTCGGCCGCGGGAAATGTTCATGAGTTTGTCGCGATCGCGGGAGATGACGATGACGTTTCCGTGACCGCGGGAGACGACGATGACGATTCCGTGACCGCGGGAGACGACGATGATATCTGCTCGGCCGCGGGAAATGTTCATGAGTTTGTCGCGATCGCGGGAGATGACGATGACGTTTCCGTGACCGCGGGAGATAACGATGACGTTTCCGTGACCGCGGGAGACGACGATGACGATTCCGTGACCGCGGTAGACGACGATGATATCTGCTCGGCCGCGGGAAATGTTCATGATTTTGTCGCGATCGCGGGAGATGACGATGACATTTCCGTGACCGCGGGAGATAACGATGACGTTTCCGTGACCGTGGGAGACGACGATGACGATTCCGTGACCGCGGGAGACGACGATGATATCTGCTCGGCCGCGGGAAATGTTCATGAGTTTGTCGCGATCGCGGACGACGACAATGACGTTTCCGTGACCGCGGGAGATGACAATGACGTTTCCGTGACCGCGGGAGATAACGATGACGTTTCCGTGACCGCGGGAGACGACGATGATGTCTACACGGCCGCGGGAAATGTTCATGATTTTGCCACGATCGCGGACGATGACGATGACGTTTCTGAGACAGCGGGAGACGACGATGATGTCATTGATGTCTACAAGGTCGCGGGAAATGTTCATGATTTTGCCGTGATCGCGGACGACGACGATCACGTTGCTGTAACCGCTGCAGTCAATGATGATGTCTAAACGTACGGTACATGTTAGATTTCATGAAAAAAAAAACAAATTTGCTAGTTAGAATTTTTTATTGCTGCATTATTTCTTTACTTGAAAACACCACATTATCATAATACTACTTTATGACAAAGACAGGGGTTGGTGTAGTATTATTCAGAAAATTTGGTTAAGCTATAAAAATTGGTATCAGTATCAAGAATCGAGAATCGATACAGTTTGAAAAAACTAGTCTTGAAAAATCTGGAATTAGTCTTGAAAAGTCTGGAATTAGTCTTGAATTTTATAATGGAAATAAACTAGACACCCTGAGAGCGCCAGAAACTATTTCCTACATTTTAAATTTTAACGTATTTTTTGTTTTATATTCGAAGTAAAATTAATAGACTACTGTAATTACACTTAGTTTTATCATAATAAAACTAATGTGAAACTATTTCATGTACCCAAACTGTACAATTATTGACAAGTTAAAGATTATATACTTTATACTTTTTACTGAAACGGCTGACTAAGGCCAACATGTTCCTTAGACAGGACTGTTAATTAATAGCCCATACAGCCAATGGTAACTAAGGGACCTTCAGTTTATAGTGGAATCCGAACCACATTTTTGCCTTGTAATTTACAAATTGGTCTAATTATCGGGATAGTACTGCATATAGTCGTAGTACTCTATTGTTCAGGAGGTTAATCCACACCATCATATGATGATGATAGTAGAAATAATATTTACAGGCCTGTCAATAACGATGATTCAATCAAGAGACTTCGATCAGCTGAGTCAACGATGGAATCAGAGAGTTCAGAAACTCCTAGTGGTCCAATTGACTTAAATCTTCCAATACCTGATGAACAAGCGGAGGCCTGTTTAATAAATGTAAGTCAATCAGTGTAACGTATAATCAAGTGTTTAAAAATTAGTATAAAAATAGGCGGTTCCATCACTTTGAATGAACAATATTTTGGTAGGCTCAAGTTTAACTGACCATACAAACGAGGATAAAAAAGCCACTTTGGGTTTATGAAATGATCAATATTTTTTTTCTTACTGCACAAAATATTTTAGCCAACTTTTTTATAAAATTAAAATTTAATAACCTGTTTACTTTTCAAAGTTTGTCTCCATCAACCCTAACTTACTCTACTTCTCTACTGCAACTTATGTCCATTTCTTGTTTGTTACAGTTGTATGACCTGGACAAGGCTTCCTCTTTGAAGATGAATGATGTGATAGAGGCAGCGGGTTTCCTCAGTTTTGATGATGCCGCAGTTACGTCAGAGGACGGAGAGCAGTATCTCCCCCCCTCTCTAGTCCCTCGGCTACATGCTGTCACGTGGAAAACTGTCAGCTCAACACCTCCAACGCAGAGTGAGTTATGTTGATGTGCAAAGAAAATGTGTTTAAAGTTTTGTCATTTTGTCCTAAAGTTTGCAATCATACAGTGGCGGCTGGTGGGTTAAAGTAGTGGGAGGACACATAACAATCTTTTGGGAGGTTACCAGGGAAGGGTCTTGGTTAAAGTTAAAAAATTAGTCATTTCAATGTTGGTTTAGGCAATTTTTTATATAAACGGTTTTATTCATAATTGTCTTCATTGTCTCTTTATTCATAATATAATTGTCCTCACACTAGCATTCTTTGCAGAAATATTTTTAACAGAATTCATTTGCATCTCTGAACAACTCTTCTAGAGAAACAATTTAGTACATTAATTAACACCTCGAATACCAGCGGAACAATTTAGTACATTAATTAACACCTCGAATACCAGCGGCATGATGAACATAACCCCAACGAATCACTAAATACTGTATCCATTTTTGTTTTGACTGATCATATTCTGTTGTTGACACTTGAAAGTGAACAGATCGCAGCGCTCTGCAAAATAGATTGTTGTTTCAATAGTTAGAACTACTGTTAGAGCGGAGTCCCAAACGCCCTATATCATTTGCTCTAGAGCCTAACGCAGCGCTGTGATTGGACGAATTTTTCCATGCAGTTTATTTTTTCTTATTGGTTAAACCAGTGGCCCAATTTCACCAAAACAGAATTGTAAAAAAGTGTTGAATTTAATTCCAGCCTTTTGCAAAAATAGCTTAATACATTAGCTCTTTAAGTTGAGGACTGAAAGTGTTGTTTTGCAGACATTATTTGTATTTCAAAAGACAACATCTTGTCCTACTCATCTCCATTCATACTTGGCTTAAAATACCTACTTTGTATGGTTGCCATTTCATTGAAAAGTATTAAAAGTATTAAAGTATTTAGGCCTAGTACAAAATCTCTAATATCATGGTGACGATTTAATTTTGAGGTTATGGTTGATAGCTAACTCAATGCAATTGTGAGGCCACCACTAATTTATGATTCACTAAATGAATAAAAGCTGACCCAAAGTAGCCATTTTCAATCAGAGTTAAAAGGGGAATTTTTGCACCCTTCGCACAAACACCTTTATGTTTCATCATCACATACAAGTTGAGAAATGAAGATTATTTGCCTTGTGTAAACTGGTTTTACTTAGTCCATCCCACATGATTGAGATCAGTTGTTGTCTTCAGGTAGCGATGCTGTCAAACTGAGAGATGAGTTAAGACTGGTCCTGACACAACTGTTGCTAGGAGACGCTCTGGCAGCCGAATACCTCATCTGTCATCTCATCTCTCGAGTGTGAGTTACCAACATTTCAATCTTAATTTTTTTGATTAGTACATACATGCAGTAGACTCCCCCTATCTCATCTATTGTGGCAGATTGCTAAACCTTAAATAAACAACATCAGCCATCTGACACATACTTTCTTCCAATCTTGTCAACATTATAGAGAAAATCACATACGCTAATAACTTTTGAACCGTTAATTTTTACAACAAAGTACGTCATTGCGTGAGAAATTGTAAATGGGCCATACATTTCGGGAGTGGCAATGATTGTGCTCGTAATACACACAAGTTCTTTCCTATCACCATAATTAACTCATCATAGATTAACTTTTAAGTTGTACATAAAATGTCATTTAAGCTATGTTTGCTTAATCACTTTCATAGATGCATTACCGGACGTAAGTGTTTTTTTACAGGAATGCCAACAGTGAAATCAGCTAATTTATATCGGAAATGAATACAGCGGAAATGCTCTATTATGCTTACTGTTAACAGGTGTGGCAAAGTGATCATTTCCACACAGTGTAGGAAAATTGATATCCCTGTGTTGCAGATACCTGCGTCAAGATGTTTTGGTTCTGGGAAAGTTTTCACTCAACTTGTCCAACATTCCGATTTCCCCCGAAGACTATACAACCCAGCTGTATCAGTTTCTGCAGAACCTACTGAACAAAAGTCACTACCTCGCCATGACAGTCGAAAACATGAACTCAACTGTTATGATTCCTAAGTGAGTAGTTTTAATTACTGCTGATAATTATTAGTTAGCGTAATGGATGCCATTACAAAATGTTGGTTAAAATAACTTAATGACTTTCCAAGTAGAGTGAAACCTCTGCTAAATCGCATGAACTGAAATCTTTTATGCCTGACATGAATTTGTAACTCTTCAGGAAAACCTGTCTAAAAATGTCAATATATATAACTTAAACAATTTTATTTCAAATCATCTTTATAGCTCAATGTTAAATAGATAAATTTAGGTTCCTCTGTATTTATTATATTACTGGAACAGTTTTAACCTACTGTGGAATTATTGTAACCTCTTGCTATTTTTCAGGAAAAATTACGAGACAAACCGCTTGGATAGTGGGATGTTGCAGTTGAGTAGTAAGACCCATTTGGTTCTCGATGAGACGAAAATGCAACCAGGAAAATTGGATGAAAGAGGTACCGTAGTTTTTAGTTTCTGTAGGCTACACACCTCTTGTTTTAATCATCATCAGACATAGCTTATTATTTTGAATGTTCTTATAAATTAGATTAAAATAATATTGACGTAGTTCACACAGTCCAAGCAAACATTTTTTTCTTCAAAATTTAGGGTGCAATTTATATCAACTGAGAGTATGAATTTATTCAAATTTTCAGGAGTACATAACTGTCGAGCTTTGAATTCCGTGATTGTGAATCAACGAATGGAGTACAACTTCCAGTTTTACGGCGTTGAATTTCACACAGACATTCCGATCCTTATTTTGTCCGAAGGAAAATCCCTACTTCCGGTAAGTTAACTTTGAAAATACAAATACTTACCTTTACTTTATCGAATGTTGTGTGGACCTGCATTTAAAATATTTATGATTCCATCTACCATTTGGTTAACCACGTTGTTTGAAAAATATATTGTATATTGTTTTAAACAAGTGACAGTTAATTTAACACTGACAAATTAAAGTAGTGATCTAAGGTGGAAAAGATCAGACGAAGAAATGTTTGTCACTCACCCATTACCATTTCATTAGATAAATTACTTTAACTACAACAAAAGGTTGTTGTTATAGGATATAATATTTTCTCATGGTTAGCCTATGCATAAAAAAACCCAGTAAAAGTGCTGTGTTTGGGTCCAGTTAATTGAAGTCATAAAGTAACGATTCATAAAAAACATGAATGGTGAAAGATTGTGATAGCATATTTTTAGAGTGTTGATACATATATGCATTTTACTACTGTAGACTCCCTATAGGTTGGACTACTCCCCAAAACCATAGGTTAATACATAAATTAAGTATAATAAGTAAACAACAGTAACAAGAGAGAAAAATCACAGTAACAATAGAAAATATTTAACAGAGTCAGACAAACCGATAGTGGTAAGTACGTTTACATGGATACAAGCAAAGTATATCACAAACCATGTTGTTTTGAACAAACTCAGGTCAAACCAAATGTATCTGAACAAAATAGATAGCGGATATATCCGCCTATAGTTCGGGAAGGGTTGTGTTTAGTAGTTTCGAGCTCACAAGATATATTTTTGTTCAGAGTGACTACCTGGTGCCGCTACAGCCGGATCCGTTGTGCTTGTCCACGATCAGTGAGGTTTTCACAGCCGCAACCCACTATCTGCAGGAACCACTGCTGACTCAGCTACGCAACTATGTAGCAACAGTCACCAACGTGACCTACGACCTCTCCGATGAGGTCCAGAAGGTAATTGATAAAAGCTGATATACCATTCGCATATTGAAAATGTAGCTAGTTTTAGAATAATATACAGTATCAGCAATCCGACGCATACTTTCTCCCATAAGCTTGTCAACAACCTTTATCATGGGTAAGCGGTGGAAGTAACTATGATATTTTATAGGGAAACATCAAAAGTTGCAATAACTTTTGAACCGTAATTGTTACAGCAAGGGTATGACTTGTTTTACCAACCGAGTATGACTTTTTTACTAACCGAGTATGACTTTTCGCCACCCCGGCTATGACTTCAGTAACGGTGAATTTTCTAAGTCCAATAATTATTAAAGTCACACCTATTTTGTTTAGAATTATAAGGACCACAACACATTAATTTTAATCTAATCCGACTTTTTTCAGTTTTTATTTTATTTTATGGGTTATTATGGGAAAATAACATAAATTACAGTAACTTTTGAATCGTAATTTTTACGGAAATGGGATTTTTACCATTTTGTTCAGAACTTAAACTTATAACATACAAACTTTAATCAAAACCGGCTTTTTCTAAAATACAATTTGTCGTTATTTTATGGGAAAATAACAAAGCTAAGCTACAATAACTGTGGAACCATAATGTTACTGAAATGGGATTTGTGCAATTGTTCAGAATTTAGAGTAGGCTAACACTTATTAAATTTAAATAAAATTTAGGTCTACTCTGCTTAATTTCACAATGGAGGATTTTAAAAACAATTTAAATTGTCTTATTTCAGATTGTGCAAGAGGATTTTGTCAAGATGAGACAAGATAACCAGAAGTTTAATGCGCAAGATCTTCACTCTCTTCTCGTCTTGGCAAGGTAATCTTTTTAACGTGTATATTGAAGCTCAACCTCTGCTATGCTTAAAACATCAAACACGTCTAGCACTGGCAAATTGTATACCAGTGTCCCACTAATTCAAACCACATGTTAATGGAAAAGTTACTGTATAAAAGAAAAGCTAAGCTGTGTTCGGAAATAATGACCAGGTCCAACCAGGTAAAAATGCAGCATGACGATATGATCATGGGAGTTGCTGCAGTAGGGATAGATAATGGATTTCTGCAATGTCACCGTAATTGCAGGCGTGTTGTTTGTCCTATCTTATGATCACAGTGGTATACTCACCATTTACATGCCACCTTAGGTTAGGAAAAAATCGGGACATGGCCCTCCTCCCCCTTGGATTAACATAGGCTTAAATACGGGCATAAGGAACCAAAATCGGGACTGTCCCGACAGAATCGGGACTGGTGGCAACCCTGATTTACAGCCATATAAATATAGTACAACACAATTTTAACTTACTGCATTTTTTACTTAACAGGGTCTACTAGTATTTTGAATTAGTTAGGATTAGACCTTTGATAAATACCTTTTTTTTATTTATTAGCAGTTCTTTTCTGTACAGTTTTACACAAAAAAGAAATACAAAAACGCACTTGACAAAACTGGATGTCGCTTGTTCCTTTACAAGGCTACAGATGTATTTTGTTTTACCTAACCCGACATGAACTTCCCTATCCCAAGTGTGATGTATATACAACTTCTTTACTTCTCGAGTGATGTAAAGTTTAAAAAAACTCACTCGGTGAGGTAATGAAGCCCATTTAAATAACATTGAGTGCCTAACTTAAAAAATATACCTCTATGGAGCCAACGACGTTCAACGCTAGAAATCAGCTGTGCGCTTAAATTTTATTGTTATGTTTTGAAGAATTTTCCTAACCTAGCTTTTGTTTGTAAATGAACGTTACTGTTAGAAGATGAGTGAAATGGATAATGAAAAATATTGTTCGTAACCTCCTTTATATTGTCGGGTCAGGTAAAATCTTGTACGTTACACGTTACGCAAGAGCGTGTGTACATCACTTAGGTAAATTATGCAACTCGCTTCCACTCGTTGCACAACATTCACCTGCGTGATGTAAAAACGCTCTTACTACACTTACTTGTAAGGTAAATAGCTATTAACTGTTTTATCATCACATGATTTAGTTTTATAGTGCGATCCCTGGATTTAATCTTCAGCATCAAATAGTCAATGATTTAATTGAGTATTTTGTGTTACTGTATAGGAATGAAAGTCCTAGTCGTTTCACAAGAAGACTAATAAATTTTCCTTTCCCACAGATATTTGTCTCTAAGTGAAGGAAGTCTGTCTCTAACCAAGGACTGCTGGGCTCGAGCTTTACAAATGGAACGAGAACGAAAACAGCGATTGAATAAGTAGTGGTTAAAATAAACTGAATTGTAAAACATCATTGTTAAGTTGTTGTAACTATTTTTGTTTGTTAATTATGTAAATAAACATTTTTCACTTTTATTCTTTCTTTTTATTAACCTCAATAATCTTTTTCCAATGTTATGCCTTTAGCTGCCTTTCTCTTAGTAGCACCGAGCTGTAGTATTAAAAGTAGTACTAAAATTAAATATTTTTTAAATTGGTTAGCAATAGTTGCTATTCAACAAATTTTCTTTATTAAGACTTAGACTGTTAAAACAAATACATATTTGTTGTTTTTACTTTAAAAGTGAGAGAAAATATAATAGGTTTTCTAGGTAAAGACTAAAGACAACTAAACATACTGAATTGTAATTTGTTGATTTTTTTCATTTGTATTCATTGTTTTTTAGCAGTCACAATACGTCTTCTTTATACTTGTTTTAAATTGCTTCTTAACTAAAAGCAACACTGGTGCCGGACTTACCAGGGGGTTCCGTCCGGGTTCCTCCCCAAAATGTTTGCTTAAATTAAAGTGAAAATCACACATTTCTACGATCTTACATTTTTCGATTATATTTGCTTGTAAATAGTCCATATATTCTCACTTAATTACGTATTCTAGAACTTTGTAACAGGCCAAGGCTCCCTTCACAACCTCTTGGGCCAAAATCATAGCTCAATACTCTAAAATATTTAGATGTTATTTTTTAGATTCCGATACATTTAAAAAGTGAATCGTTAAAAAAAAAATATGCCGGCACCACCCATAGCACACTTTGTCGCCCAGTTAACATGATATTTTATGCCCTGAATTGTTAAAATACAATATAAAAATAAAATAAAAACAATATAATTCGTAAGAATATATATTTTGCATTTCAACTCTATTTATGTACAAAAGAAAACATGACAGAAATTTCTCACACAATTCTAACCAATGCAAAACAACACCTTTTATATGAAACCTAATACTCTTCAACACAATACAAAACACATATACAGGAGTAAAAATATTTACAAATGTAACAACGGAATCAATCGAGGATTGACCACAATTATTGAATAAACACTTGCTTGGTAAAATAAACTAATAGAATTTTTGGAATAGCATAACAATAACTAAAAATAAAAATTATATCTAGTTTTCAGGCAGTGAAAATAACATTGATTTGAAGTAGCAAAATAAATTCAATTTGTGTTCAAAAATAAAAGTACAACCCCCAACGAGCAGAAATAAAATGTTATTTAAAAACATTAAGTGGTCTGAGGCACCTAAACAAACAAAAATACTTTGGCCCAAGTAAAATATCTCAATTTGGTTACTGTGCAAGTTAGGTTAAGTTTTGAGACTCCCTTTTGGCGAGTCGGTGGCTTAGTTGCTAGTGCCACAGAAGGGTCCTCTAAGAAAATCAATTAGTCCAGAGATAGGAACTAAATGAATGTTGGTTAAGTAGACGATACTAAATAGAGCAAGTACATAGATGAGTCGGTAGCGCCACTGACTTCAAGGCAGTGATATAAAGGGTTTGTATCCTGGTACAAACCTCTTCAGCCCATGTAGACAGGCAAGTGCAAGGCCAAAAAGGCTGCCAACTTTTTTATATAAATATATATCAAATTAAAAGAAGATTGATTAATTAAACACGTTCGTGCAGTCAACAGTACTGAAGCTGAAGTTTAGACAGTGATTATCAATTCAATAGTCACAATTAAATTGATAAAAAATAAATTAGATATCATAAAAGTAAGTTTAAGCCAACACTAGTGATTTATCAAAGTAGAATCTAAACTGTACAGAAACTAAAAAACAATTATTATTGAGTTTTACCCGCTGTTTCATTTGACTATTATCTGTGTATTTGTTGAAAGGGAATTTGAAAAAGCCTCAAGAGAAGAATAGTACCCGGATTTTGGATTCAAATGAATATTCTACAAGGGCCAGTGTATAATGTACAACAAAACTAATAACTTATAACTAATATTTTGTATGGATCATCACAAACTACAGTACCTTTGTACAGTAAAAACTAAATAGTATATTTTAACAAGAAAGTCAAGTGTGCAACTTAAAACAAGAAAGAAATCATATATTATTACACAACAATTTATGGTAACTAATATAAAATATACTATGAATATAAAAAAAAATAATCCAACCCATATACATACAGTCCACTGTGATAAAAAAAGTTAGGGCAGGTTTAACACATCGTATCCTTATGTTTACAGTAGACCCCCTCTTAACCGACCCTAACAGGACCGGACCAAGGTCGGTCTCGGATAACTCAAAAGGTCGGTAAAAACAGGCAATCCCTAAAAACTTTAAAATGTAGTGCTATTCATTTGGAATTATATAATCACTATTCTGAAGTCGTATGTTCATTATTTACAAAATAAACTACTCTTTTTCTCTAAAGTATTGAGGATAGAAAAGTCCCAAATAAACCCAAAACATGGTAAATTCAAATTCTTTCAGTGGAATAAATTAGTTGCTGGCTAGTCAATAAAAATTCTTATTTTGAATACCTTTCCTAGTATTAATTTATGCTTTCCAAATCCATCGTAATACAGTACAGAGCTTGTTTTCTAAATTAATGATACAAGCCACCATTTCTTTACAAGACGGGATGTTTATCCATAGGGTACCATCCTGCACCCTATGGATTTAGCAAATTGATCCCATCAAGATTTATAGAAAGCGGCGGTTAATCTGAACTGCTCCCAAAAGAAGGTTGGTTAAAAAACTTTACAAGCGAGGGCATATAATCCGTTCGAGAGTTAATCAGTTAATGCGTAACCGTATTAATGCGTAACCGTAAATCGGTTAATGTGAGGTCGGTTAAGAGGGGGGCTACTGTACTTCATTCTAAAAATCTGTATTTAGTCTAATAAAAGTAAGCTTTCTTATTAAAAATAATTTCTAAGACAGATGGATAGAAGTTAATATAAGACCCTACTAAAAGCAACTGCATAACATAAACCTCTATTAAAACATTTTTCTTATAAAAGGTTAGAATATAGAAACCTCTCTTGATAACATAAAATATAGGTGGAATAAGAACACTGTCTATAAAAATTAATGAGAAATAATTTAACACCAACAATTCCTTAACTATAGGCAATGATACAACTGTTTTACTAACTGAATTATTTTGAAAACCTATAAATGCAAATTATATTTACTCAGTAACAATACAAAACAAAATTCATACTTTTACTAGCATAATCAAATTCAATCAATTATTTTCCTATTGGGTTTGATGTTTATAGTCACGCAAGTTTAAGCTATATTGTAAATTGTTAACAGTTGTTACCGCTATGGTTGTTTTCCCTTATAGCATTATTTTAGTTACGAGCAAAAAAAAATTTAAAAGTTGATATTGAAGAGTTGCAATGCTCTGCTATCTATACCTATAACAATAATCAAAAACTTCATTTCACTGAGAAATTTTCTGCTTACCTAAACCAATCAATTTTATCATCATACTAAAACCATGTTGCAAACTTGGTTACATAAAAAGGTTATTTTTTAAATACAGTAATCCTTTGTAATTTCAACATTATTTAAATTAAATATTTAAAGAAGTGGCATTCCCAAGTATAATTTAATTGAAATAAAATGCCTTACTAACCATTTGTTACATTATTTACTTATTTGAGTAAAAAAATTATGTTAGGCAGTTTGAGAACAGCTAAAATAGTGCTCATCAAAAAACAGTACATTTTGTTTACAGTTCTGAAAGGAAAAATGTTTGCTTCAAAACTGTACATTAGCAATATTTGATAGTTTGTGTGAATGTTACGAATCATTTTTAGGCATTTAAAATAAACCGAAACTTTCAGTTAAACAAATACACAATATATACATACATTTAAAACTTATAGACTATTCAGTCGTTGAAATCGTCACATTTTCTTAGCCCTCAAACTGTAGTAAAACATAAAGAATCAAAAACCTATCTTAAGCAAAACAACACAAACACCAGTTAGGATTACATCTACGATTGTGAATAATTACAAAACAAGCTTATTAGGGCTTTGTCCTACAAGGTTCAACTTGAGAGGTTGACTCAGTAATCTTTTATCAAATAAAGAAAAGGATGACAGCTAAAGAACTCAAGATGGTATCAACAGTTCTTCAAGTCCTTTATATATCGCTTGAACATCACCAAAATTGGTGAGTTTTTATTGTTAAATAATACCTGCCAACTGTTTCTGTATTTCAAGGTGTTTTTTTGATGACAAATGCCGTTCGTAAACACTTTTATACTTCCATGACAAGTCGCAAAACACACATTTATAAGGGTACTGATCAACTGTACCCGGCGCAGATGAAAACCCGTCTGGTTCACTACCTTCCTCCATATGACTTTTTAAATGTTCTAGTAGTGACTTTCTTACGTTAAATGTCCTGTCACATTTTGGACACGGGAATATTGAGGTAGAAGTCTCTTCATCTTCATTTTCTTGAAAAGTCAAATCCACCATGAAGTTTGGAGTAGAGCTTCTAGAGGCTGAAGATGTGCTTGCCGTTTGTGCGGGTTTCTGAGGAGTTTGACTACGAGCTTCACCACCAAAATATTCAGCCGCTTCCCTTCTGTGCATCATCTTGTGTTTTGGCAACGAGTTTACTGATAGCATTTTGTTGCAGATGTTGCAACGAACGTGTTTCACTTTTAACCTCTTAGGTGAAGGTTCCAGAGTGGGGTCATACCCAGCGGTATAGTGCCTCCAGTGAGAAGCTCTATGACTCTTTCTACTTGAAGGCGAGCTGAATGTCTTGCCACAGATATCACAAGGATACGATCCTCCTAGCTCACACTCCACGGGAGGCACTTCGTGCTCTTGAGATTCTTCAAAGTCGTCGTTCATGTGCTCATCCATATGCACCGGGTACAAGGCTTCGGGTAGTTTCTTGTCACAAAGTTCACATGTCAAAAGTACACCAGTACTATTGGCTTCAGTCTCATTCTCTTCTGAACTTTCATGTAACATCTGATGCTCTAGTAAACCTTGCTGCTTATGAAACACTATATCTGGACACAACTTGCACTTGAAGACACTGGCTTCTCTCTCCGCGTTTTTCCTGACGGGTGTTGTCTCCGTGTCTGATTGGTACAAATGTTTATGGGCGACTTTCTTATGCCGTGCAACGTTGAATTTCCACAAAAATGTCTTGTCACATAAATCACATTTGAAAGGTTTCTCTTCTGACCCACTCTCTGGTTCTGTTCCCGAAACTTTATTCTCACATGTAACAGTGTGTTCTTGTAGTTCGTTTGCAGAAATAAATCTTTCTGGACAAGTCTCGCATTGGAAAGTAGGGCCGTCATTCATCGAAGTTACTGAGGAAGCCCGACTATGTCTTGGAGATTGACATGACCTGTGGCTCTTGTGAGTCGCTAGAGCAGTCTCGGTTGGAAATATTTCCAAGCAGTTGGTGCAAGGCCAACGATCGTACAAACACTTATCTTCATGCACTTGCAAACATTTACTGTACACAAACTTCTTTTTACATTTGGCACATTCGACCGCAGGCATTCTACTTTCTGGAGTATACAAAGGAATTTTAGGTTGAAAAGGTGGAGGAGTCTGGTCGTGGTTTTGTGACTGTAACTGGCAAATACTTTGGTGAGATTCCAGTTCTTCTGGACTGTTAAATTTATTGTTGCAATTTTTACAAGTGCAATTAGATACACAGGATTCTGCGTGAGTTTGTTTGAGTTCTACCGAACCAAAAACTTCTCCACAGTCGCATGTTAGCCTTTCGATGCTCGGCTTACAACTTTGTTTGTGTCGATTTAAGCTTTCTTCACTTAAGAATTGTTGATCACAATTTGGACAGTTTTGCGGTCGGAGTGGAACAATAGTTTCTTCTGCTTTGATTAGTTGTCGGAGAGGCCTACAACGCTTTAACACTCTATGCTTGTATATAGAATTTTGAGATGCAAACCATTTCTTACAATCCTTACACTTTATGGCTCCACTAACATTATTTACATGGGGTAGACCAGTCTTTCTGTACCTCACACAAAACGGTTTGTGATTTAATAGACCCGTTGGAGTTTTGAAACTTTTAAAGCATCCACTGCATCGATGTTGTGATGAGTAATCAATGTGGTAGTTCACTGAGCTACTAACAAAACCCGGTTTGTGCTTGAGGCTGTGTCTTTTCAGATTTCCTGATGTCGTAAATTTCTTTTTGCAAATTCGGCATTTAAAAGGTTTGTAGTCATCATCAATCATATGATAACTGCTTTCGTTTTCTTGCACCATCTCCAAGTCATTCTCTGGATTGATAGGCATCATATGACTGGCTCTTCGATGCTTCGATAACAGTTCTTTTGAGTTATACGAGTTACCACAAATAGAACAAGAAAACACCCTCAATTTAGAATTAGCATGAACAGCCTTGTGGTTTATCAAATCTTTTGGAGAAGCGAATGGGGTGTAACAAATCCAACACACATTTTTGTTCAAATTAGGATCAGCGATGTGCACTTTCATGTGCTGCCTAAAAGTAATTTTATCTTTAAACGTTTGTCGACAAAATTTGCAATAGTAAGCGCTTTTCCTAGCGTGATATCCAGTATGACTGGAAAGACCACCAAGAGTTGGGAAAGATTTTAGACAATATTTACAGTAATGAAGTGAACTATCTCTGGTTCGGCTGAAGTGATTAGGTTTGGCAAAGTCTGGTAGTTCATGAATTGTTTTGTTCTTAACTTTTCCAAAGTCCATATGGTTTTGTTGCATGTGGTTTATGAGATCAGAGGAGGTCTGGAAGGTCAAGTTACACAGAGTGCATGCCAATACTGAGCCGTCCAGAGGTACAGTAACAGGGGCTGGAGTTGAGGGTTTTGGCTGAGTTTGAGTTTGTGGAGCCATCTTGCTACTCATCTCTTCCTCCCTTAGTCTCTGTTCATTAAAGACTGTCTTCCTATATTCCTTGAGACAATCTTTACGGTGTTTGGCAAACAGAGATTGTGTTGTAAAGGACTGCCCACAATGAGTGCATCGTTGCTTCTCTGACACACCACAGAAACGTCTGTGAGAGGTGAGAGCAGGTGTAGACATGAAATATTGAAAGCAAAGTTCACATTTTAGATCTTCTTTAGAAACTGGAGTTTTCGCGCTGTTATCAACGTTTGAAGTTTCAAAATCAGACGACTGAGATGCAGTCTCAGATATAGACAACCTAGACGATACTCGAACTTCCATCAAATGTTTCTTCTTGTGCGTATGAAGATTTCGCATATGTTTGAATCTGCTTGGACATTGATTACAACAGTATGGACCTGTTCCTTTGGCATAATTTATTATATTTCCCATTGCCACGTTGATCAAAGCTTTTCCTCTTGCCTTGGTTGGGGCCTTACCCATTCGATATAGTTTGAAATTCATTCTATGTCTTAATGATTTTGTATGTCTTTCATAATAAACATCATTTGAAAATGAAACCCTACACGGCTCACAATGAACTTTTCCATTCTTCAGTCTTTTTGGTGTGTATTGGTTTTCAATTGCTTCATTTAATAGTTGTACATTTGGCTTAACATCTTCCGACTCGTCAACAAAATCTTGAGATTCTCTCTTCAACAAAACACTGTGGAAATTCAGAGGGTCTTCTTCTCCTTCTTCGTTTTCTCCTTCTTCGTTTTCTTCTTCTTCTTCTTCTTCTTCAGCTTCGTTTGCACTTAGAGGCTCTTCTTTAATGTGAGATACCTAAAAAATATACGCAGATAAGGAAATCTTTTGACTATTAAGAAAAATAACTATTGCTTTACACATGCTGTTAATGTAACTTTACTTGGTTTTGGACATTGTGAAACTCAATATTTTAAAAGAATAGTTCCCTATGTCATTGGGTCAGAGTTTTATAATAAGCAAAGCAAATGAATAAACTATGCTTTTTACACACACAATACTCGACCGTTACTCGGATGCTCATCAAATGATCAAATATTTTAAGTTTGACTTGATTAAACAGGTTCAGTTTTTTTACGGTTTGTGTCACATTGGCTTTTTATTTTAGTATAGGTCTCTATCCTGAAATTTATATGCTATATAGTATAAGGGAAATGATTGTGGATAGTGGCCTCCCAATATTATTTTGAAAATAAATGAGATAAGGTCTAACCTTTGATATAATAAGACAAAAAGCTGCAATAGTACCGGTACTGTGATTCTTAATGTCTGATGCTATCATTCCCACAATAAAGCTCCACCCAAATATTAATAACATTTTAAATGCTTGAATTTTAATCATGCAGAAAGCATAACTATATAATAACCACAGAAAATATCCTATTTAGGATTGTTTTTACGGCAAGAAGTCTTGTAACTAGAAAAATAAGCTAGAAATAGGATTAAAATTTTATACAAAAAAGTTCTAAAAGTATTTTAAAAACGTACAAATATTTCTTAGTGAGATTAGTTTTAAATTCCATACCATAGTCAATAATGAATAAGACAATCGATTTTAAAATGCCTATAGTCTTGGTCTTGGAAATGCATCTGAAACTCTGACTAGGCCATAGGCAACCCAATGGGAGGGCTTAACAGGACTTAGACTTGTGCCGCTAATGGACTAGACAAGAGCAGCTTTTGATAAAAGTGAGAAGAGTTTATGAAAAACACTTACCACTGAAGTCATTGAGTCACACATGATGATGTCTGGTTCCACATCTTCACAATCATTTTCACAATTTTCTTCCCAATTATCATTGGAGTTTTCATTTTCTTCAATGTTGTCCTTGCTATGTTCATCTGCAGCCATTCTTTCATCACTCTCACCATTGAGTGAAGTGACCTGCTCAATTACAAAAGACGAGCTATTGTCAATGGAATTTTCTGTTCCAAAGTTTCCACAAGTGGCCAATGTTTTTCCAGCTGGTTCTTCATTAGTTGAGCTAATCTGATTGTTGACAGTTTGAGAATTATCAATGGAATTATCATTGGTCTCAACTATGATTTTATTAGTATCTGGATGATCACGATCATTTATCTTTTCTGTACTTGGTGTTTCACTTTCCCCATTTTCCAAGGCCTCTTCACTGTCATTATTAGGGTTTTGTGAATTTCCACTATTAGCATCACAGTTATCGCTCGTCAAATCTGCTTTGTCTATTGCTAAATCATTTGGGACACTATTTCCATCAATTTTGTCTATTTTCTCTGTTGTATCGCCCTTTTCTCCTTCGTGCATAGTTTCAACACTATTTGAATTTTCACACAAAGGTTTTTCCGTTTCAGTAAGTTCATTATGACTTTCAGCATTTGGTGTGGAATCTTTGGTTGCTTCTGTAATTTCTAAACCACCATCTATTACCATAGAATCAGCATTTTCTGATGGGTTAGTATTTTCTGGTTCAGCATTATGTAGGGGATCAGTGTTTTCTAACGGATCACCATTTTCTAGCGGATCAGCAGTTTGTAAGGGATCAGCATTTCCTAGTGGATCGGCATTTCCAAGTGAATCAGCATTTTCTGATGGATCTGCACTTTCTAACAGATTTGCATTTTCTAATGGGTCAGCATTTCCCAAAGGATCAGGCATTGCTGTATCAGACCAATGATCTTCAGGCAAATCATCTTCAAAGTCATTGTTATCCACTTGGGGAATTGTAACATCCGTTATTCCCTCAGATAAGTTTGAATCAGTTGAGGGAGTGTCTTCAAGTCCAATATGATTCTGGTGAGCACTCAAACAAACATTTTGAACTGGTAATATTTCAATCTCTTTAGTTTTAATCAAGAGCTCTGGATTTTGAAAATGACTGATTGGTTGTCTTTGAAACCTTCTACCAATACGGCTGCTTTGCAAAACAGGTCGGCGAGAAACAACAACATCATCATCATCACTTGATAAATCAATTACGTCAGAAAGTTTCTCTTTCGCTTTTGATTCTTTCCATTTTTCTGCTTCGTTCTGCAAATAAATATACATTTTAATGTCAAAATAAAAGACTATCATCATAACAGAAGTTTTTAAAATAGATAAAAACAACTAAAAGTAACCGTTGCTATTTTTTCTTCTACCAATAAGAGGTGCAATTAAGAGTCTCTGGAGCCTAGCTCTCCAAACAGTTACAAAACTCCTTAAAGAAAAATGTCTTATTCCATAGCACCCTACATATTTCAATTACACCTTTGGTATTCGAACACAATATTTTAGGATGGTAAATAACTTGTCGGCTTTAACTTAACCCTGTTAACTTGTCAGCGGCTATTTAAAATCAACATTATTCTTATGACGGGCAAATCCAAGATGGACGTTATCCTCCATGTTGTCACTTAGAACCTAGCCGTGTTAACTCATAAAACAATTACAAAAGTACATTCAAAATGTCTTATTTCATAACGCCCTAGATGTTTCAGTTACAATCACTTTGGTATTTGAACAAATATTTTGGAATGGCAAATAACTCTTCAGTGACTGTTTAAAAATAACATTGCTCTTAAGGCAGGCAAATCTTAGAAGGCCGTTAAAAGTAATTTACTCAATGATTTAATGACAAGGAGTCTAATGAGTTTGATAGATTATTAGTTAATAGACATTGTTAGTTAATTAGTTTATTAGATTATTATTAGTTAATGGTCAAATTTTTCCAAATCAAATCAAATTAATTTTTATTGTTACAACTATTACCCTATGTAAATAAAAATATATGGAAAATTTTTCCAAAATTATAACACAGGTATGATAAGAAAACATCTTGTAGCCTACAAAAAATTTCTACATTATGGTCCCGTTTTCTACGTAATACTTTTAAGATTTACCTTAAGTCTTGCGTAAGGGTGGCTATTATTTTTTTTACAACATACAGTCCTCGGGAAGACTCAGCTGGCATCAGCATCTGACCTTGAATGAATTACAATGAACTTGTTTCTAAATGTGAAACTTGTTCATTACTTTCTCCAGACAGTATTCTTTTTCTGTTCGTTTTCACACACTTTTTTGAAAATATGAAACATTTTATTTGGCAAATTTAATGATATTGGTTGAATTGTTATTAATGATATTGAAAATACATGGTCGAATAGAAAAGTTCATATATTATTCATACTTTTTAAGGTCATAAGAATTCATGTATAGGATAATTCAAGCTTTTCAAGGTTTCCATGGCCGGTGGCAACCCTAAAAATCATTAAATACCTTGGCGTAAACGTCAGGGTTGGTTCTACGTAGCCAGGAGTTCAACTTTTTCTGAGATGCATCACAATTGTTCTTAAATCCTTGCCACGAATCCACCTGATGTACACAGCCGACACAAATCATGCCAGGCAACCCGTCCTCGTTGGAAACCTAAAGACATGAGAGTATACCAAATGATCCACAGTAAAAAGATAAGTTGTGATCATGTTTTAGTAATTTTATATTTTATTGAAAATACTTACAGATTTATTACCTCTACACTTACTTTAATTTGGAACTAAGAAAGCCACGAAAGTTATGGATGAAAATAAAACGGAAACCAAAGAATTTCATTCTAACATAAATCCAGAGAAATGACAATATAGATATAACGGCAGTGTAATTATCTGTCGAACAATTTAGGCTTGGCATTGAGAATCATGAACAACTTCACTTAGCCCACAGAGCAGTAACACATGTCAACAAACAAAAGGTTTGAAAATGGGAAAATGTTTGCCAGTTTACTGATGAATACAAAGGACTGCACAATGATCCTAGCAACTATAGCTCCAAGACATTAAAATAAAAAATACTCTAAATGTGTTATTATCATTGTATTAAACAAGGAAAAATTATGACAATGTGATTAGAAAAGTCAAGCCTAACAATTTTAAGAGGGGACCAGTTGTTTGCAGCATTTAATCCCAAGACAATTTGCCTGGTATCAGCTAAAATACACTAAGAATGAGTCTCTGCCAGATGTAGCCCTACCAATAAGCGTGTGATTATTGACTGATTAGGCCTAGGTTCTAGGTGAAGATTGTGTTGAATAGGTAAAATAAGGTGTAGGGAGAGCTCAAAAACACCGAGTCACACCACTGAACGCTTGTGATATTTAATAAACAGCTTTAACTTAACTGTATAGATTACGGTACTTCTATAAAATAACAAAAGTGGTGGTAATAGGTGAAGTGTTCTTAAGTGCTCATACCCACCCTACACACCATTTTAATTATAACGATATACCCCTGGAACTTATTCTTATCCGACCCCTGACACTAATAAAAAAAACCCAATAAGGTACACGTTTTGCTATAGGCTACCACCTTAATTACCTCCTTCGTCACCAAGACCAGCGATGCCGGATAGGTTGTGTCAATACTAGACACAAGTTACCATATACTAGATTAGCAAAACATTTTGTTAGAAAATTGTGCGGGGTCTTTGATGACAATAAACCCAATTAAGGTCCACGTTTTGTTATACCGAGGCTACATTAGCAAACATTGAAAATTGTCTTTGATGATAATGTAAAGTAAAGAAGACTTACAATAGGTACGGTAGGGATAGGCTAAACAACTGTAAAATAACAATTATTTTCCACCATAGCCTTCAGGCCCCAGGTACGATACGAGCAGCGAGCGGCATTAGTGGTGCCACCCTGACATCGGGTCTCATTTAGTTCCATGTAAATTTGTTGAGGGGGACCACAATATGTCTGAGCGGCAAGTGGCGGTAAGCGACGCCACTCATGGATCCAAGTCCAAACCGATTTTCGCAAAAACGCCGCTCAGGTGAGTAACGCTTTATTTCAGCCTAAAATGTCAGAAAAAACAGCAGCAAACGTGTTACGAGCTTTCAGCCAAACTTAAGAAGATAAGAGTTGAAGACAGGTGACTATCAAAAAAAGTTTTGATAGGCCTAAGTGAAGTGCAGTCCAGGGAATGTTTGTGGAATGACCAGCACGGAGATTTTAAAAACACTTCAGTCACCAGAAAATTATGTGACGAAGTGGGAGCTAAAATTTTCTAAAAACTGACATTTTCTTTAAAAGATAATTGTCAGGTTAGGTAACAACAACGGTTGAAATACATCTTGAGGGTCAGCACAGCTTGCCATATTCGACTAAACTGACTCAAACTAAAAAAGGGAAATTCGATGAGTGTTGTAAATGTGCCGTTTGTGTCGTAGCCGCTCAGGTTGCCACTAGCTGCTCACCGCTCGTATTGTACCCGAGGCCTAATGATAGGGAAAAATATTGGGAAAAATAAGCTGTGTAATGATCAAGACGTTGAAATAAATACTGTACTTAATAACTTAGTACTGTAATTCACTCATAGTCTACAGACAATTTATCTAATGAGCATCTAAACCACATCATTATATTGTGATCAATTATTTAACAGTTCTATTTAAGCCCAGATAATACCGATACCGGTAGCGGAATGTCATAAGTTATAAATGCCATTTTTTAAATGTTATTCTATTTTCACATGCAATGCATTTTAATCTTTGTAGGCTCAAGTTAGGTACAATGTTTCAAAATATATTAGGCCTATTAAAACTGTTAGGCCTATATAAATAAATATAAACTTAAATTATTCTATTTAACCCTCCGAGCGTCCATTGTCGAAAAATCGACACGCTACACACTTTGTGTAGTGTCACGCGTCGATTTTTCGACGTGCGAACATCGTTTACGGCGAAGGCTCTATGACTGACTGAATCGGATTGAACTGGATCGAGATAGGTATCGTTCTTTCCGTTATATTCTAAGCTTTCTCCAGAGGTCTGTCTCAGCGCTGTATGTTCTCCGAGCCGATCGTAATTGTAGCAGACAGCTGACGTGCGTATTCGTAAACAGCTTGGTTATCCTCGGACCGATGACTGATGTGTTTTATTACGTTTATCATTGTTTTAGTGTTAAAAATCAAAAGTAGTGATATACGTGGTGCATTATAAGAAGATTTAAGTGATTTTGAAGGGCTGGTTGATGATCCTGAAGAAGTAGTGTAGTGATATTGATGTAAATTATCAGTCTGATTCCTAGCTATGGTTAGGCTATGCATTCTTAGCTAAACGCTATGTACTGAAATCCGTTTTTCACTCATAACTTATTTATTTGATAACTTACCTCACTATATGATTATATATTTGTAATCCTCATTAAATTTAGAACAAAGTGGCTATTTTCAAATATTTATAGGCCTATAGTTTATACAATTTCATTGAGCGCGAACTTATTTTTTTTTTTCAATTTTTCCAAAATAATTTTTTTTTTACCTAAAAAAACTTTTTGAAACAAATATTCTAATGTTTTATGTATGATATTGAAGCCCATGATTTTCCAAACAAAATGGTATATAGAACATTAGATTTAACATTGTTTTAAGCTTCTCAGATCCGTTTTAATAAAACCTTGCAAATGCGCCAAAAATAGGTGGACATTAAGGCCTAAACTATGGACACTTGGAGGGTTAAATAATTGATGCAAGTTATTTAGATTGTTACTTAACTTAATTGTAATCAAGCTAAGTTATACATGGTTATATCTAGCCTAGGCCTATTTCTGTATTGTACGTTTATGGGCAATACAATTAAGGTAGGGTAACTTAATCTTTTCAATGATAACTTTTAAGAAAGATTCTTGGCATAGGCTATGCCTTATTTTTAGAGACGTTTAGGTTAAGTTACCATTTGCGATAAAACCTTTGTAAACCGGACCACTAGGAAGGCCAAGATGAAAAGATCAAGTGGAAAAAGACCTGAGGAGTTACCTGCGCAAAGACTATGAGTTACCTCCGGGAGCAAGCCAAGGACCAGGATGACTGAAGGCACATCGTTGTGAAGGCCAATAGCCTACTTCCGTTTGAATGGCCACAGCAGTAAGGTTAACTTAACTTAGTTAACTACCCTACTATTAATTTCAAGCATTGTAAAACATGTGAAATTTAACTTATTGGTTTGAAAAAATTATATTAGGCAATCTTAGTCCCAAGTGCAAACTTGATCGACCTCATTCCTAAACAAACAACTGTTTCAGCAAGACAAGTTCACGTAGTTTTAGCTTACGTTGTGTTTAAATTACGTAAGAGAAAAACAGTTCAGAATTATTTTACAATTTATTTAGCTTCAGGATGGGTAAGGCTAGTTAACCTAAAATGGAAATTTTTATTTTGAATGAAAAATATGTACTTAGTTAGAAGCGGTAAATGGAGGGGTTTTTGGCTACTGATGAATAACATGAACCTATTTTTTTAGAATACACAGACCACAAATCAAGATTTGATGAACATTTGGGGTATTGATCAATGGACTATTACACTTGGGCTGTTCAAAACAATGTTTTTCAGTACAGTAACTTAACAATGTAGCCTAGTATGCTACAACTATTGTATGAGGGTGATAATGTCAGTAATTTCCAAATTCAAATGATTCTAAGTGTTCTTCACTTAATCCAAAAATAGATAGGGTACTGACCTTAACAGACACACAATCAAGGATCTTCTTGGATAAAGGTATACCATTTCTTGACGTATTTTCTCTCCCAAATATTGGAATTATGGTACAATCATCTCTCAAACACAAACGGCAGATGCCATTGACATCAGAAATATCTATTTCTTCACCCATTGTTTCTAAATTACATCGTGCACAAGGAAAAGAAAGTTGTAAACAACACTACGGCTCATCACATCACGTCCACCATGACACTTGCATTCGGCAATCGGCTGCTTGCTTGCTTCTGCTCTGCCCTGCTCATCGTTCCATTTCGGCTGCTTTCGTCCTCAATTCTTTCCTCTCTCTACTTCTTCAAAAGATAAGAGCGTTTTGGTGATATTTTCCACAACAACTCGATTCGGCTATTTTTCGTCATTAGTGAACAAAGAATGTTAGAATTCTTATTTCAGAAATATTATGTTGTGTTGTTGAAAACACAATTTCATACATCTATTGAATTTCATAGAAGTTTGTTTGGCGTTGTGAGCTGGCAGACTGAATCAATATCCACTTGATCACAAAAAGTGGTGGGGAGGGGAGATTGTTGAAGAGAAGATGGATCCGTATCAATCAACTTCTACGCTTCTATCCCACTATGAACTCTTTATCAGCTCATTGTGATAACCGTTTGAGTTTGATCAAACAATGTTCCAGTAGAATTGTACAACAGCAACTTCAAACACCAGGCGTACACAGAACAGAAGTACTATGCATGCACGATGCTAATTATGTCGTGAACTCGCATGGACATTTTGATGAACTCTTGAAGGTGGCAAAATTAAATTGTTATATTTTGTTTAGCTGGCCTACTTGAATATATTGATTCCTCTTGATAAAATGTCATTTAAGATGGCGAGTATAAAATTTTCTAAAATCAAATTAATATTCCAAAGTTGATTGCGATGATGATTGGAAAAGGGAAATTAATCATCAGCATTTGAGTACACCTGAAAGATGGTTTCAAAAGGTTTCAATTCCAAAATCCTAAACGGAACATATTCTAAAATTGGGGAAAACCAATTATACGTTTGTTTGTGTTAGCTATATTTTGAATCTGAAATACAAATAATTTATTTTGCGTGTTATGTCATTTGCAACTTACAACGCAAATGCATGGACACTGAACATATCAAAAAATTAAAAAGGATAAATAGGCAACATTATTTAGTTGTTTGTGGACATTTTTACAGTAGGTACAGTATTCATATTTTTCATATTTCACTTTCGAAAAAGAACAAGGTGTGTGGTTTGAAATAATTTTGGCAATAATAAGGCCTGCCTGTAAGCTAACTATCGCAACCTGAGTTCCCAATTATAATGAAATTCTTCACAATTGAATAACAAAACCACAGACAAGTGACATCATCAAATATGGTTTAGTCAACAACAAGATGTCTCCATCAGCGCCAGAGAGCATTTAGTGTTGCGTGATTTCATTCTATTGACGATCTCAATCTAATACCGTTATCGCGTGTTCTTTCTCCTTTCCATTTTGGTCTATAGGATAGAGGTCAAGGAATCGTGAAACGCTCAGTCACAGTGTGCGCTGCGACCGGCAGACCTGCGCACTACAGCTGCTCGCTTCTTGGATGCCGAAACCTGAAATGTGAAATGCAACGAGGAGAAAAGAGAATTCGATAATCGTCCCTCTCTTTCTCTCTCTCTCTCTCTATACTGATAGATTGCCATCTAATCATGCTGACAATCGCAGCTATGAAAGCCGGTACCACGAAATACAACGCCGTCAATAGTGTAAATTCATAATTTTATTTATAGATTATTCATGATCTATCATAGGCCTACTATTTCAAATCATCACTTTGGCTGAGACTGCTGAGAGACCGGTGAACTTCGGTCACGTATTATGACAAATAAGGCGAGTGTAGAAAATACAGAAAGATATTTCATCCCAATTCGTCTTGAGAATTAGAATTAACTTGCTGATGCTGACTAAAATCTGCTGGTTAGCCAGAATCATATTTGTCAAAACTCAAAAGCGCAACGATCAAGGGCATCTAGGTTCTGTTTCGGTTTCGAACAAAAAAAAACATCTGTCTTTTCCAATGAGCATACCGAAGATAATTCACAAGGTGCGCCCTTTTTATCGTCATTCAAAGATCAACATTTAACTATTTTGAAACCACGTCGAGATCATATAACAATTATGTCAACTCTTTAAATTCTTATCTACCGATTTTGCTTGGAAAGCAACGGTAACAAACAGCAGTTGAAGTTCATATTTCTCTCGTGATTTGGAAGCCCATTTATTATGTAAACTGATTTCACGGAATACGTAAAAGACAATTTTGTCATTGTTCCAGAACAACCAAAAGCGTCACAACTGAAATGCGTTGACATTAGAACCAGTCAAACAGGTTTATAAATACGACGACGAATACCTTCAAACACATGTCTGGCCTTCAAAGTAATTTATAAGCACTCTTAATAGGAACACAATTAATTAATCATAAACAACCATTTACATTTTTAGAGGGTGAGAAATAATAGGGCGAAAGTAAAGTTCTTTATCTCCTAGTCTGTTGTGCAAATCTGAGTACCTACTGTAAATTCTATACACGCCGGCATTTGTAAAACAAGTTCTGTTCCATACGGATATCATCTTGCCAAGAGAGATGATCTATGAAATCATCGAATCAGAACTCCTTTATTCAATTGTAAAAATATCATCTCATTTTAGGCCTGTGTTTAGGATCAATTATTGCAAGCCAATTAAATTACGTATATAGGCCTACATAACATAGTATTTACACACAGAGAAATTATTATGTCATAGTCACATTGGTGGATGTTATTTGCCAAATAATAGCCTGTAGGCATACACTTTGCAACTTTTAAAAGATTTTAAGAAAACTTCTAAACCCCTTTCTTCAGTTAGAATACATCTGCTGATAGTATTTAATATAAAACTGCAAATAGCCTAAACATTTTCGTCTCTATAGTCCTTAAAAAAATTCATGAGTGAATTTTATTGTACCGTATATTGGAAGTTTACCCTACAACCAAGGGCTCTAATTAAGTAGGTTTTTAAGATTAAATTTCACTTGCAGACTTTGCAGGGGCGTTAAAAAACCAAATCCGGTTTTAGCTACAGAACATTTGTGTGCGAATTGGCTTTGTGTTTTTGGTGCTAACAGTGCTAGATGCTTTCGGAAGAAACTAAATAGACTTCAAGTGCAGCCTAAATATACTACCCTAGTTGATTTTCAACATTAAGGTGTCTTTTAGGTTTGTGGTGAAATTTCTAATAAAAAGAATATTTGTGAAAAATTAAAAAAAGTTATTCTTAAAAATAAAGTCAAATGGCCGCAATTTTGAGTATTTATATTTGAAAAAATATACACCCCCCTAAGTTAGTGACACTAAAATTTTTAGGATACCTCTGCAAAATTTCAAAGTTTCAAGTATAGCCTGTCGTGGTATTGAGAAATAAAAGCAATTTGGGACAAGTACAAAATGATGGCTCTGTAGGCAATCATTGACTTACAGACGATTTAAATATTTACATACTATATTTAATTATTTGCTATGAACCCTGAAAATAATGTCTTGAAAGGTTGGTACTTGGTAGAGAGGTTTTATAAAACACTCTATAAATTTGAACGCCTGCAACTTGTTGATAGACTGCCACGCAATACAGTTATGTGTGCCTGTGTCTGCGATTCCGATTGCAGGGCGTTACAAGAAAAATGTCTCTTTAATGAAAATCAATTATCATAAGTTTAAATATATTGTTTAGTGTATATTTTTAGCGAATTCCCTTATAGGGAAGTAGCTATTACCAAATGGCTTGGTAAGACCTAGCCCGGGACCGATATGCTTTTTCATTTTGATGTCCCTAGAGGCCAAAAACCTTATTCGTTCAATTTTTTTTTATTGTACACGATAACTTGAGTAATTTTAGTACGATTTTCATGAAATTTGGCTTAAAAGTGTAAGGCGGGATAATATTGAATGAGTTCGTGAACCAGCATGACCGGACTATGTTGTTTGTACTCCCAAAAATGCTTATAGTCTCGAATAATTCTTCAAAGTATTAACTTATATTTTAGCAATGAATTACTTATTGAGTGATATTTAGATTTGGGGATGTATGTCTTTAACTAAATATAAATTTCAAAATAATAATAATTTAAAGTCCATGACTCGTTTTAAATTTGTCAGATTTTATTTAGTGATTACAAAATTAAAGCCAAACATTTACTGAGTAATTTGAGACCAGAAAGAACTTGGTGACGTATTAATAACCCGAGATTTTGATTTATAAAAAGTTAAATTTTGTGTTAAGTTATCGATATTAACTTTACATATAACAAATAACTCAATAACTTGTCTCTAACTCGTTCGATTTTATTTATCAATACTTCAAATGAAAGTCCTTACATCAGTGAATATTTTAAGGCTAAAAAGAACTGCAAGCGTTAATAAGAACTAGAGATATTAGAAAAATTATCTTAAAAATATTCAAAGTAGGCTACACATATTTTTTCGTATTTTAAAATTTATATTTGAAATTCAGTTAGAATACCCCCGCCACAGAAAACCTGCAGACTTAGCAAATTTCCATTTGCTTGATTGGATTTACACTAAAATGTCTCCTTAAAAATATCACATTTATTCCCTATTTAAATATAACTAGCTGTGTGCCCGTTCTACGTACGGGAATCTTGTAGTAAGTTGAAACCTTCTTACTGTACCGTATATTCAGAACAGGAGTTCAGGAGTTGGTTTGCATATTTAGTGTGCTTTTTTCCAGATATGCTGGCAAAACTATTACTCTATAGGAATACATATAAAGCTTCGCAAATACAATATCGGACAGTTTCAAGCCAAAATAAATGCTTCGCAATTAAATGTCACCCGATCGTGTTAGTCCATTATTTATATCTATTGATAAAAGGAATAGCTTTATAAATCTATGAGGCATAGCCCCAAGGTCACAGACAATGGAATATTGTCTGTGCCCAAGGTAGGCCTCTAATTGAAAGTTACTTTTCACACTGGTTAAAAGTACCTAGTTAAAATACTACCTCAACCTCACTACTACTGCACACTTTATTTGGGTTGAAATGTTCATTATCAAAGGTGCTCATGTTTTTTCCACGAAACACTGAGAAATACAGACATACACACACAAATACAGAAATGAGTTAGGGGATTTGCTACGCTTTAACTAAAGCAAATTACAAACGAAATAATTATTTGAAAGTGTTGATAGTGACATCACATTTTATGATAATCGTATACCTAATCAAAGTTTAAAATTTGTGTAAATCCGTTGGCAAATATATAAATAAGTAAATAAATACACAGTCAACAAAACATTGACACGTTAACACCATAAAGCTTTAAAAAATCACGATGGTTTGCTAAAAAAAATCTTTCACTAATGTTTTATAATTTTCATTGCATAAACTAACATTTTGGAGTCCAGACAGAAAACGCTAAAATTATACAGTAAGACATCAATTAAATTTAATAAGAAATAAGGTGCAGCACTAACGATAACTAAGTTGTAAATAAATAGTGATGTGTTTGTACGTAAAAATTATTCTTACTGCTACCACCGGTTCTAAGGAACTATAGTACTTACGACCAATTCAAACTGCCCTTGTAATCAAACTGTATTATAGGTGTTAATCCGTTGGCAAATAATAATAAATAAATAAATAATTTATAAATAAATTTTTTTAAACAAAACGTTTTTAAACGCACTAATTATTTTCTACTTTTTAGTGCGTTTAAAAAGTTTTGTTTAAAAAAAATTTTATTTATAAATTATTTTCTACTTTTTAGTTTTTAATGTGTGTGGATGTTAAATCTATTTCAAGCTTCTATATCAGATTAAGACAGAGGCATGTGGGAAATCTAAGGTTAAATAAATAAATAAATAAAAATGCCTTTATTTACAAGCGAGTTTCATATACATGATTTTCAAACTTAATCAAGTCAAACTAAAACTAAACTAACCTAATATATACAGAAATTTAATATACAAAAAAACTACAAACATTTACAATTTACATTTGTTTTTCTGCATTGCGGCCCTGAATGAGCCATACGATTTGGAGCTCTTTATGTCCTGAGGGAGGCCATTATACAACTGCGGGCCAAAATAAGAAAATGACTTTCTTCCAACCTCAAGCCTCACTTTAGGTTTATTTGAGTTTCTTTTCATATAATTATGTATTAGATTGAATGTACAGTATGGCCTATCTACTAACTATAAATATATCAATCTATTTAATTTATTATTTACTTTATAGAATACTAAATAAAACTAATGACATTATTAACAAACACCTTTATATACGCAATGAGATTGTTTATCTTTATTTTGAAATGTTTGTTTGTATAAAAAATATCGGTACTTTCCTGTAAAGGGAACATTCATTATTATCGATGATTTTTTTTTCGATATATCGATTTTTTTCCCCTTTACGATACATTACAAATTGACAGCTGATATTTACGCTAAAATATAGTCTGTTATATGGAAAGAAATTAATCTGTTCTAAGCTAACCTAACATAACCAACCAAACTTACTGTACCATTTAAAAATCGGTGGGGCACACGGAAGATTTCTCAGGTGCCGTTTGACGTCACTAACTGCTGACGTCACTAACTGCTGCGTCTGAAGAAACAGACAATTTTATAATTATTTTCTATTATTAAATTAAACTGTCATAACCTAACCAAACTAACCAAACGTGCTGATAATGGAAAAATCGAATAAAGATTTACTAATCTAAAAAATAGTTTGTTCATAAAATAAAATTATTATTGCCTAAAATTAAATTTTATGTTTTAATTATAAAATTAAACTGTCATAACCTAACCAAACCAACCAAACTTGCTGATATGAAAAAATTTTTGATAAAAAGTTAGTGTCGCCGGCGGGAGTCGAACCCGAAATTTTGGATTAACGGTCCGCAACGCTATCCACTGCACCACTGAGGCCGATGGCTCAAACCGTATCGTTGCGGTATTGGTGTTCCCTCAAAGTGACCTCAGCAGTTAGTGACGTCAAACGGCACCTGAGAAATCTTCCGTGTGCAGTTTCGTTTAAAAATTCCGTTTGTTAACAGAAAAGGCGAGTGGAGAATATTAAATGGAGTTTTAAATGTTACAACAAGTTTGGTTAGTTTTCTTAGGTTAGTTTAGAACAGTTTTATTTCAATATTTTTTTAAATTTTTGATTGTCGATTCTGAACAATATTTATTTATCGTAGTTGTCAACTGATATGTTTCAATTTGTTAATATCGATATATCGAGAAAAAAAATCATCGATGATAATGAATGTTCCCTTTGACAGGAAAGTACCAAAATATCTTGGTAGCAAAAATGTACCTCAACCTCTGCTCTTCGAATTGTCAAATTTAAGTATTTACAGCTGACTTAAATTAATTGATATATTTACATTCTTTCAAAATGTAAACATGGAAAATTTGGAAGCCCATGGGGCGTAGCCCAAGGGAAATATGAAAATTAAATGATATAATATTGCATTGTCATCCATTTGTGAGCTATGTTTTAAGTTTCAAGTCTCTAGCTCATCGGGAACTTAGAATAAAATTGATTACAAAATTTGTACCGGACAAGAAAGCGAGCTAATAAAAACGTTTTAATAAATACACAGGCCACAAAACATTGATACGTTAACAAGGTAAATCTTTAAAAATCCATTGCTAAAAAAATCTTTCACTTGATGTGGTATCAGTACCGAAGTTATTATTCTCCCTTGGTTTTGGATTTTTTAAGTTTTCGGTAATAACTACTTACTACGTAGACTTCTCACTCCATTGTAAATTTTGAAGCACGTTTTTCGTGTCTAGTTCATGTACGTGACACAATGGTACTAGTGTCGATGAAACTTTGTTTCTATTATTTTAGGGTTAATTTCTTGATTTGTGCTTTACTGTTTGGTTATATAACTAGGGGACAAGTTATTGTTTATGATTAGATCGTATTATTTGGTTAAACGAGGTTTTAAATGGCTGTAATAACGGGAAACAAATTGTAAACAAAACACAACCTCTACATAAACCGTACATGAACTAACAATAAAATTGTCTTCATCTGTTCCATAAGGATGAGAAATCAAGGGAGTATGTTTTATCTATGTTACTACTCTAGGAAAATTCGCCAATACTTCCCTATAGGGAAATTTGCTGAAAACCACTCTCTGCTGACGTCAGTGTAAACAGCTGTACTGCATCTGTCTAATAGCAAATAACACTGGTAGCCATGTTGTGGGCGTGGCTATAGAAATTGGAGACCAATTGAAACTCATGTAGGTGTTGATGGCTTGTACACAGCACGGACTGGGTTACGGTAGAAAATAATGACTTTAAGTCAACAAACGATGAGGAAAAAATTTGAAATCTCCCAGTTAAATGATTTTTTCAAATACATAACTGTTCTATTTCTTACAAGAGTATTATTCACACATCTTGCTTCAACAAACTCTATTTCCAAACTAAAGCAATGTTTACAAAAACGTTTACAAAAATCATCTGACAACAAAACATATTTAAACACAAATAAATCATATGATAAAAAGAACAGACTTAATACAACATCCCGCCTCAAGATGTCCACATCTTTATGAACCTCAGTACCACCTCGGTTTCTTAATGGACCTTCCATAACGGGTTACTGTGCAAGCTCCTGGACGATCACGTGAGTTGCATGGACGATTAAGGACCACGGATGAACAGTTTGAAAGAATACAATGTCCTCCGTAGTACGGTACAGGAACTAAGAACTTCCTGTTTCGGCGAATGGTTCTCTTATTTTATTTTATTTTATTTTATTTTGCTTCCAACGGTCCAAACAAACCAATTTACAATTATTTTGTTATATAATGCTTACTCAATGTTCCTATAACTAAGGGTCAAGCCAAACATGCAAAGGGGCTTAGAATCTACTTAATGAGAGAACTTGACAAGACAACAAGAACAACAACTAAAATCTGAGCAATGTTGACTAACAATGATAAATCTTTGATATAATTAACATTGAATAAAAATGTGTAGCCAACAAAGATAACAAAAATAATAACAACAATAACAAACAACAACAGCATAAACTACAATAGCAACAATAATAAATAACAACAGGAACGAATAATGACAATAGCATATAACAATAATAATACTACAATAGAAAATATAACAATAGTAATAAATAAATAAACTGATATTTTACTTAAACAACAAATCAAGACAGCGCCTCACAGATCAACAAGTAACATCCTTTTTTTCAACGACTCGCCACTGATGGAGAAGAGGTCGATATTTTCCGGTAAGCTGTTGGCCAAGAGTTGGATGCGGGGAAATGTACTGTTGAACATGTACTGGGTTGAGTACTGGCGTCTAGCGAACGGATGAGTTTGGCGCAGGTGACGGGATGTGCGGAAGTTCAACTTATATAGTAGATCAGGTGCATCAATGTCTGAGTTAATTAGCTTCCTCAGGAACAGAAGGTTAGAAAGAAGATTTCATGTCGTGCAAGTAGTGGCCTCAAGTTTAACTGAAGTTGTAAATTCTGGATAGGAACGGTGCGGTAGTCATAACCCATCAGCACACCAACCAGACGAATGAAACGGCTCTGCACGTTCTCAAGACTCTCAATCTGCCCAATCAGGTAAGGGCTCCAAACTGGTGATGAAAACTCAAGTAAAGGCCTGACTAGATGAATGTAGAGGATTCTCAATGCATTGATAGAGAACATGTTGCGACTGTTCCTTATAATGAAATATAGGGCAGAATGTGCTCTCTTGCAGATACAATTTATATGCTCTTGAGGGTTTAAATTTGGTGAAAGTATGACGCCAAGGTCCTTGATCCTGAAAGAACGTGGGAGGGGTTGACCGTCAAGTAAGTAGGGGAAGATAATGGGTGTGCTAGATCTGGAAAAGGATATCACAGAGCATTTTGAAATATTCAGAGTCATTTCATTATCACAGCACCACTTCATCAGCGAATCAATACCGTTTCTGCAGAACTTGGCAATCATCCAGGGTTTTAATTGTTTTAAAGAGTTTAGCATCATTAGCAAAGAGCAAAATGTTCGACCCCTGAGTATGCTGTACCAGGTCATTAATAAATACAAGTACATTAATAAATACATTAATAAGTACATTAATAAATAAATTCTTGTCAGTTTCCACAAGGTAGGAACGTGGTTCGTTCAATTTCCTGACTACCTTACCGTGTCGACGTAGATCTGTGATCCATACCATGCTTCCAACTTCTAATTCACTTAAACCACTCGCTCCATGTCGTTTATCAAAGTGTATCTTGTACTTATTCTGGTACTTATTCTCCCTATCAAAAAAATTTTTGTTTTCCACAGGATTTCCAACCAAAGTAGATGGAAGATTGTCTCTTAATTTCCTTCCAAACATAAGTTCAGTTAGGGAAAAGCCGGTTTCAAGAGGTGAGGTCCGGTAAGAAAGTAGGGCAAGTTCAAATTGATCCTTGTTTTTCTTCATTGGCCCTTTTGCTACTTTCACAGCTGCTTCAGCTGCCCCATTTCCCTGATGGTGGAGGGGACTACTCCTGAATGTGGAGAACCCCCACTCCTTTGCAAGCAATTTAAATTCACTTGAGTCCATATGGTGAAATTGTGTCCCACTATCTGAATAAACACGTAGAGGAATTCCAAAACGTGAAAATGTGGTTTTGCAAACCCGAATCACATCTGAAGCCCTCATTCGATGCATTTCCTCGACTTCAAAGTATCTTGAGTAGTGATCCAAGATAACCATATACCACTTGTCTTTGTGTTTGAACAAGTCAACAGACACATTTTGCCACGGGTAATCCGGGACAGTTCTCGGAATCAACGGTTCACTGTGATTAGTTGAGTTCTAAATACACACTGGACACGATTTGATTTTCCTTTCTATTTCTTGAGAAATTCCAGGCCACCACATGGTTACCAAAGCACGTTTCCTTGTTTTTGTGATTCCCAAGTGTCCACTGTGAAGCCTCTCGAGCATTTCCGCTCGTAGTTCTTGCTTCTTGATAGTCCGGCAGAATTGACCCGAACCTGGTTTTGTCCTATTAAGTTTTTTTTATTGTTGATATGTGATATCTAGGGTAAGTAGACCCTAAAACCACCGGGTACTTTTTTGGTACCCTTGGGCAACAGCCGCCATCTTGGAAAATGGCGGGAAACGTAAATTTCAGTGTAAGCTTTTACTTAAACCAATGTAATTTAAAAACTATTAAAGAAGGAACAATGCATGTTATTTTAAAATGTTTATGGTTAAATTCCCTACTCAGAAATACCATATATTAAATATATATAATTTGTTTTAAGGTCAGTATTACTTTTCAAAGTTTATAATTTATAAAAAAATAATGTCATATTTATTTTTATTTCAATTTTGCGCCTTAATTACTCAAAATATGTCTATAATATACATTATAAAGTTTGTAGAGCTTTAAATTTGGCATCGAATACATCTATTGGATATTTGTTGGATCAAGGGTAACGCCAGAACAAAGCGTTAGAAAATAATGTTTTTATTGATTTTCAATGTAAAATAAGGATATTTTATATGTTCAATAAAATTAAAACATATTTCCTGAGACTATCCGCCACTTCTCTCTGGCTGTTTTTGGTATTAAAATGTTTGTAAAATTATCAAATTTAATTTGAACTATTAACTGTTGTATTTAAGGACTTTAAATTATGTTACAAATTATGTCAGCTTTTATGCTAAAAGCTGGTGTGGGAAATAGTATTCCCTACACCAACACAGACAAAAACCAGGATTTCAATTAGGCTAAGGCTTTGTTAGGAAACAATCATAATACTATGAAGATGAAGCACATTAACAAACACATATCAAACCCACTATGTTAAGGACACAACACTTAAAACATTTTATAGGGAAGAAATACAATTTCTGACGCTTTATAATTGCTATTATTATTATTTTTTCTCTGCTTTTTGTGAATTGTGAGAATGCATGCATGCATGGGCGTTTCACAGTGAGTGAGAGGTTATGTTCGTTCGGTCAAACCAAACACGAGCGTCTAGGGACAGCTCCGGCTGCGTGATGTGACGTCATCCGTGACGTCAGAGTTTTCAGTCAGTTCACTCCTATAGCCTCAGGCATAAACGAATGAAACGATTTAATGAAGCGAGACTTGGGTCTTGGGTGTAGTGTATGTTGTTTCAGTCTAGTTGTTCTCGTTCTCAATCTCCTCATTTTCCTCAAGTCTCAAGTAAAGCTACAAGCCTTTACCTTTACCACCTTACCACTAAGTTACTGTGTAGAGGTTAAGTTTTTAAGGATGGTGAGGCTTTATGTGTTAATGTTGTGTTCGTTCCTCAGTTATTACGCCTATTAGGAAATTAGTAAAATGGGTGACACAGTCGTTTGCCATTTGTGCCAGCGGAAGTTTACATTAATTAAAAATTTGAGGACCCATTGCAGAAAGAAACATCCTAACAGTCCTCTACCCACATCAAAGAAACCTGAAGGTATTTCAATCACAAATTGTATATCTTGTCCTTTGTGTCTATGTGAGTCGAGATTTTTGAAACATGAAGAGTTACTCTTGCATATAACCAGTATACACGCAATTGATGTTGAGAGGCAGTCGTATGACTTTCAAGATTATGAAACTTTTCTTTTATGGAAAGAACAGGTTGAAGAACAAACAACATCCCGCTATGTAAAAACAAGAGGCATTAGAAAATGCAAGGACTCGGAAACTATCATTTTTAGCTGTTGCCGATCAGGCCATTTTAAGTCTCGGGGCAAAGGTCTTCGCCATTTGAAGACCCAAGGGACAAGAAAAATAAATAAATTAAATAACTTAGGCTACTGTTTTCCTTGTAAATAATATATGAATAAGTTAAATATATTTTTTCTTGTACATATAGGTCTAAATAAATATTGTTTAGGCATGAAATATATTCATTATTTATCCCTATTACCTGTTCAGAACATTTTGGGGGTTATGGAGTACAGTGTAGGCTATGATAGGCCTAGTTATAGACAATGGACAATTTATTCATCGTTCAGTACCTACTTAGGCTACACAATTGCAATGGATTTCGTCAAACAGAATATATAAAATAAAGGCTAATTTTTAAAATCTATATCATTTTATATGAATTTAATATTTTAAAAATCATTTATATCGTAGATTGGATTGATTTTGCACCACTTTGACAGTTTGTTAGAGATTACATTTAAAGGTTAATACAAATTAAAAGGAGAATACATTATATTGGAGGTTTTTCTTGACTGGTTAGCCTGAAAATGTTTATAATTTTCAGCTATACATTTCTATTCCATACTTTGAGTACAATTTCATGTAAGTATGATAGCCTGAGTCTAATTTTGGCAAGATTATTGTAAAAGATGTTATTATATCTTCCTGGTTATCGGTGATATTTTCCATTTTCTCTTAAGTTTAAGTCACGGCCGTAACCGATATTTGACTACAATTTAGGTAGAATCTAACTCTAAAAAGGTCTTTTGTTGGCGTTGAAGTTGAAGGCCCTAGATTTCTTCATTCTTCGAACCGATCGTATGATACCATTCCATGACGTCATATCCTGCTCTGCTCAATGCTCAGTCTCAGTATAAAATTTCGCCCCCATGCGTTTATGGCTTAGGTTATAGGAGTGAACTGACTGAAAGCTCTGAGGTCACGGATGACGTCATAACTTACAGCCGGAGCTGTCCCTAGACGCTCGTAAACCAAACGACTAGAGTTTCAGGTTTTTTTGTTCTTCTTTTTTTTCAGTCAGCTCAGCTCGGCCGGCGCTGCCAGTGCCAGTCTGCTGTGCAAACAAACAAACAGTTCAAACATGGTCTACGAACCATGAAAAACAAAGAGGACCAAATATTAGCAATCCAAAAGAATTCCGTAGATTATAAAGCAATATTTATGTCACTACATTTTAGATTTTTTAGTGTGCTGCCAACTACTTTGTTTTAAGTTAAAGTGCCTGCCACAAACCGCCGTAGAAATATAGGACATTAAGAAATCTTTGTTCAAAAAAGGAAAAAAAAAATGTAAATTATTTGTTTGTTAGCCTTACATAATTGGACCTCACCGACAAGTTTTATAAACTTGGTGAGGCCAAGCTGTTGTAATTTTCATAATAAATATATTTGTATTTGTATTTGTATTAAGGTCGATCTATTCATCTTCACTGCAAAGAAACAACATTTTTTTTATAAAAAGTTTAAATTTTGACCAACCCATTGAGTTATTATTATTAGATGTTGTATGTATTGCAATAAAAACACTCAGTAAACAATTGGCATCCATTTGACATGTAGATCACTGAAAACGAACGAGTCGGAGGTGAATTACAAGACTTGAACCAACAAAGATTTTAATGGTTGTATAATTTTCTTTGAAAAAAAAAGATTGTTACTCGAGTACTGATTATGCGATGTTATGTTTTTTTTATAATAAAATACTCAGCAAACTACTGGCTTTCATTTGAGGCATTGGTCATTCAAATCTATCGGGTTTGAGGGGATTTATAGAACTTTAACCAAATAACATTTTAGTTTTTCCAAGATTTGTCTTTAATTAAAGATATTATCCCAGGTTATAATTATTACGTTATATGAAATTACACAACGTACACAACGTGGTGGGAAGATGTAATAGCGGTATTTACTATGAATACTCAGTGAGTTACTGGCTTTAATGGTTCTTTTCAGCTATTATTTATTACAATCTGACGTGTTTGGGCCGAGTTATAAGCTTAAACGTAGAATAAAAGTTGTTGTTTCTTAACTTTCTTCTGTACTTAAAGACATATTTCTCAGCTGCTATGTGTACTATGTTATTCGTTCTGATCTAAAAACGCTAGGTCAACTTAGAACTTTCATTTGAGACAATTTTCATTTAAATATGTAGAGCTTAAGGTGAGTTGTAGACCTCTAACTAACACTAGGTTTTCAATTTTAAGGACTCTCTTTTATTAAAGATCTATATCTCAAGATCTAAATGAGCTGTGTTATT